TGATTAATTAGTGAAAATATATGTAGAGTACTAATTTGTAGTTATCTCAAAAGAAAAATAAGGCACGTATTTTGCCACCTCACATGGTCCAGCTGCTAATTTTTCTTCCTAATTGAGTCACTGTTCCTTAACCCGACAAAATTTGTTATTGTTTAAATTATTGTCTAAATTATCATGCGAAAAAAACTGGCTTTGATCTTTTCAATAATTCACAGGGGTGAATGGTTACTATAATGACTATTGAACGGACGTGGCTGTTAAATCCCGGTACGAAAATCTATGGAAGAGAATTGCTCACCAAATTGGCAAATTTGTGGAAAATGATTATTGAAGATTATGGAAGCCAGCGACAGTTTTGCATAAACGTCAGAAAAGATGTGGTATCGAACTCCATTACTGACAACAAAATAAAAATAGAAAATTCCTAAATATAACCTTTTTTTTTTTTCAGAAGAAGATGGATCGGTCCGACTGACGTCATTAAGAACTAATTCCCGCTATCTTTCTTTTTCTTATAATTTAATGCAAATCAAAGAACTAGTAGTCCAATAATAATAATCTCTTAAAGAGGTCATGGATTCCAATCTTTAGATATATATATATATATATACACTTTAATGCAAACAATAAAATATTTTGTTATAAAATAGAACTCAATTAAATTTTTTACTCGTGCTATATTGTGGTTCACACAAATTCATAAAATTATTTTATTTTGATGTCCGGTGTTATTTTGTGCGTCTATCAAAATACATCAAATCAAAAATAAATAAATTTTTTAATCAAGATTTTGTATTTGATTGATTATTTTTTATATTTTAAACAAATTTTTATCAAAAAAAATATATTTAATAGTATAAAGAATGTCAAAACCAAAGGATTATTCGCTAAAAACTTATTTTGTAATATTTTTTTATCTTAAAATTTTTAATTAAAAAAAGGATCAAATTGATCAAAATGAAACAAAAAAAAAGACCGAAACCAAACAAAAAATATTTATGAATTGAAAAAAATCATATTTAAAAAAAGAGACTAAAATGCAATATCACGAAAATTTTTATAATAAATGCATTAAAAATGCTTAGAAACTATAAAAATGTCTCCGCATAATTAAAGAAATAGTGCATCCGAGTCCGGATGAATAGTAAAAATAAGTCTCGTGTGAATAATATTTCAAATAATGAATGACTAGTAAAATATAGTTTTATTTTAGTTTTATTTATAATTTATAATTAGTAACTCATTAAGTGAAAAAACTAAAAATATAAAAAAGTAATTAAATACAAAATTTTAATTAAAAATTTATTAAAACTTAAAATGATTTTGTTCTATTGATGTAATGCATACAATCAATTAGTTATGATATAAGACAAATGATGTGTCGATCTAGTTGAGGGAAAGCTTACGAATATCCGAGAAATAAACAATAAATAAAGCTCAAAATACTTAGATTTTATTCAAACTTCTTAGGGTAAAATTTTTTGCCCCTATATATTCTTCAATGTTTCGCTTCTATCCTCACTATTTTTATAATTTCCAAAAGGTTATAGTGTTACTCTATTTTGTTAAATAGTTTACTTCTGTAATTTGGTTTTTGAAGTTTTTTAAGTTTATAAGTTTTTTTTTTTTTAGATAAACCAAAATTCATTTACAATGTAAAATTAGACATACTCACAAGTATGAACCTCTAGAACAAGATGAAAAACAAGACAAAGTATGATAAACGTACATCATGTCCCAAGACAAACAAACCAAATATGACAAATATACACCAAGTCTCAAGATAAATAAAATCCAATTCTCAATATAATAAGCACGATCAACAAGCCACCCTCCTAACCCAAAACACTAAAGAAAATGAATTTTGCATTACATAAATTTAAAGAAAAAAAAAACATTGGAATCTTGTTAACGATTAAGTTATAAATTAGTCCCTCCCATGTCAAGAAGTGAATTGATTAATTACTCTCATTTAAAAAACTAATCACTCAATCCTCATGTTTTTAAATCTACTTATAACTTAATCCTTTTTTATTTATTTTGATTTTTATTTCAAAAAAAAAAAGATATATATATATATATATTGATGAGAAAAGAAAATATTTTGTAAAATAAAAATAATATCAAATTAAACATGATCATCACTAGTTAAAAAAATTAAATAATAATTTTTTAAATGAAGGGGACTAATTATTTTTTCTTAAAACTAAAGGGACTAATTATAATTTACTCTCTTGTCAACACCATGTTCCCCCATAACACCCAATGCCTTCCGAAGAGCACCATGTCGTCGACTTTTGAGTCCTATCCAAAACCACAAACCATCCACCTGAATTGCCTCACAGCCGAAACACAGACATCTAGGATAATTGAACCATATATAAAGGATTTTCTACATTAATGATCTTATTAGATTTTGTAACATATATAAAGGATTCCACAGGAAAGAGAGAGAGAAGTAAAACAAATACGATAAAAAATATATAGAAAAAATGTTGGTTATTTAGCAGTAACAGGCAAAATTCGAATTTTTTAAAACTACAGGAATGTTAATGAATAGGTAAGGCAAATATATAGTTTATCCTTCTTCTTTTTTAAAAAAAATTTAATGATGTAGCAATATATTAGGTTAATGATTTATTAGTTATTTCGTTCCAAATTATAATTATAATTAAATCCTTGAAGAGATACCATTCAGATTCAATGATTCCAAAAACTTTCTATATAACAAACGTTTTGTTTATCGTGTTAAAAATTAAGTATTCCTTTTTCCAAATGCTGGAGTAATTTACCAATATTAAAGTGTTTTCTTATAAATACTAGTCCTAAATATAATAATTGTTGCGGACAACCTGACCTAAAATTAGTTATTGAAAAAATCTTTCTTTCTTTTTAACAAAACAGGAAAAAAAAAAAAAAAAGAGGTCAAATTTTTAAATTTTTGATCGGATTGACCGAATCAATAATCTAGACGATTCAATTAAAAATCTAACGTAACCTGAATTCTATATATATATATTTTTTAATCAGATGCATTTCGGTTAAAAAAATTCATATGATCGAAAAAATTGAATGTAAGGACATATTAAATACTTTAAATACTTTAAAAAATAAATAGGATGTAATTAGTAATTAAAAACCTAAAGACATTTGAAAGATTATGAGTATTATATAAGGACATATAAATATATTTATCCTAAAAATTATGGAAAAAATACAAACCATAATATTATACTTTAATTTAAAAATGAAAAACGAGAGAATTATTCTCTCTCTCTCCCTCTTTTATGATGAAGAGGATTGTTTCTTTAATTAGATCAAACCAATATTTTTTATTGTACTAAGGTGTCGTTTGGTTATAAAGAATGAAATGTCCGGAATGAGAATGCAGGAATCGAAATGAAATTTAAGGAATCGGAATGACATTTATATTCTCATATTGTATTTGGAATACTAATGAGGAATCGGAATGCAATTTAAATTTTTTAATATTTGTTCTTTATACAAATAAAAATAATAATTAAAAAAATATTTTTATCAACCTATAATAGTTGTAAAAATAATAAAGATGATGGTAGTGGTGGTAGTTATGGCGAGTGGTGGTTCTAATGGTGATGGTTGTAGTGATGAGAGTGGTGGTGGTTGAGACAATGGTGGTGGTCGTAACGATGGTGTTATAGTGATGATAAAAGTAGTTAATAAATAATAAATAAATAAAATATATTGTTATTTTGAAAAGAAAATCATTCTCATTCCTTATTTTTATTCTCACATCTTATGTGGTAATGAAGTTGTGTGTAAATTTTTATTTTCATTCTCACTTCATTCCTTCTAATCAAACGACTACAATATGAAAATAAAACTTTCTTTCTTATTCCCACCACTCTATTCCCGATTATCGAATAATATCTCAATAATGAAAAATTATACACCATTAAGATCATTGGATAAACTTGACATGGTGAGAGAAATTTTAAAATACCTTTATAGGATAGTTAAGAATACTTCATGTTTCAATTTTGACCGGACACGTAAACACGGAGAAGAAAAAAAAAACAATTAGATCTGAATCAACTAAAAATAATAAAAATGTTTTCAGTTAGACTCAATTTTTTAATTATCTTTTTAATATAAATATATATATAATTTTTTTTTTTTTTGTATCTCTATTGTGAATAAATATTGTTAGTTTTTCATTGAGTAACATAAAATTTATCATCTAGTGATTATAAAGGGTTGATTTATTTCTTGATTTCGTAGGTTGAAGTCTTGGATCCAACATTTAAGAAAATTTATTAAATTTTTTTAAATGTATTAAATTGAAGTGGGAATGCATTTTTTAAAATAGCTCAAAAAGAATTTGATTCGGTTGATTGGTCTGAAAATATCTTTACCATTAAAAAAAAAAATCATAGATACCCTACCCTGATCCCATTAACGATGAAAAGTTACCGTTAGTATTGACACTAAGAATTTTGTCTATTTATTATAATATTGTGTTCATGCCAAACATTTAAAACGACTTTCTTTCTGAAGTTTGTTATGAAAAAAAAAAAAACCCAAAATAAGCCATAATTTGGTTAGATAGCTGCTTTAAACAATACAACTACCAACTACTCGTGATCGGCCTGATCCCAATTTGGTTATATTCATCTTCTTCAAGTATGTATGCGTGTGTGTGTATATATATATATATATATATATGTTTGTCACTGATAGGCTTTAAAGTTGGAAGAAGCCAGCCTGATACCATATCTGGGCTTTGATGTTATATCGGCCTACTTCTTTTAGAATTAGAAACCGTGTTACTAATTGAGCCAAGTCCATAAGCCAACACCAAAACTAATTCCAGTCTGAGCTAAAATCCCAAACGCCTTATCCGAACCCAGGTGATTCTCAGCTGTGAAGAGAATGACCACCGTGGTTTTGGTGAGGACATAACCACACTCTTTCCCTCTCTCTTTATCTTCAGAAAGTTTCTCTCTCTAAAACACAAGAAGATGTTATCCATGGCATTTCAGTGTGGTGTCAATAATGTGTTCACATATTCTTTATTGCCTTGTCAGACCCCTAGTTGCAAAACATTCAAAGCCACAATTTCTGTCAATCCCAAACCAAATCTGATACTTTCTTCAACAATTCTTGACCATAAAAGGAAACCCGTTTCGAGAAACCAAAGATACACAACTTTTGCAGCGCCAGAAGCTCTCACAATTGAAACACCCACTGACGCTCCATCCTCCACTGAAGCAGAAGAATCCATTGCCCCCCAAGAAACTGAGGTCCAAATTCTTTTATTTCTTTCACTATTAATGTTTGTCTGTGTGTTTTGTGCTGTTTTTAAAGGGAGTTTCTTGATTTTGCAGAAAGCTGAGGTGTTAGTGAAAAAAGTGGAGAAGCCAAGGCTGGTGTTGAAGTTTATATGGATGGAGAAGAACATTGGGCTGGCTCTTGATCAGGTGATACCTGGACATGGCACTGTCCCGTTGAGTCCTTACTTTTTTTGGCCAAGGAAGGATGCATGGGAAGAGCTTAAAGCCACTCTAGAGAGTAAGCCATGGATATCCCAGAAGAAGATGATCATACTTCTCAATCAGGCCACTGATATCATCAATTTGTGGCAGCAAAGTGGTGGCAATCTTACCACACAATGAATTGATGGTTAGGTGTTTTTGGGGCGTGGAATTGGGTTGTTTTTCGGTTTGTTGTTGTGCTTAGGTTGTAGCTTGCTTACACCCTGTTGTATCTTTCTTTCCGGTATAATTGAAAGTTGAATTATGTTCATGGTCATGAATTCATATTTTTTAAACTTTGCCATGGTTTTATAATAACATGATTTCTCAATTGGTAAACCCACAGATAAGAGTTTCGTAACTATTTTCCCAATTCAAGTTGAAGTTGATATAATGTTGGATTGGAACAAACTGATCATGCAAAGATGTTATAAACTATTGGCTAATGTTAATAGGTGTACGTTTTTTCGCCTCGGTTCACTTTTGCAGCAGTTTTAGAAAACTTTAAAAGATTCAGGTATCTCTGCTGCTAGTTGATTTGGAGAGATTTTCTGATAGAGTGGTAACTAGGAAACCTTTTTGTGTACACGCAAGAAGGTCAGTGTTGGTTGAATTTGTAGTCTCCAAGTCTCCATTTGAGCTTATGACTTGTAGTTATCAAATAGCAGATAATTGATGCTTCATCTTGAAAGATATATGAATATGCAGATAAGATCTTTGATCTTCGTGGTGAATTCTACATCGATGTCTTTTATTGTATTACCCAGTGTGAGCAAGAGAAATTGAGAATCTAGCAACCTTGAGTTTGAAGGGGACTGAAGGAATGGTACCTAATTTGAAGGACTAATGTTCTGAAAGAGATTCAGTTAAAAATATCCTGTTTGGGAAAACTGCATTGCAATCTGAACTCAGGACACTGCCCCAGCAACAGAACAGTGTCTTTGGTGGACATTCTGTCGCCACACCTAGTTTTGATCTGTTTTGCAACATCTGATGTTCAGCAGAATAATGTATATTTTCAATCTAATTCCATCGAAACATTTTTGCTCAGCACTTAGTATCAACAAATTCCTTTGTGCAATGCAAAAACAGCACTCATGGGAAAATGAAAAGAACAACCGAAATAAGTTTTTTTGAAATTGTGCATTATCCCCAATAGAATCCCTCTTTTCTGCTGTAAAAAAAAATCCTAAAAGAGGACCAGGAAAAGAGCCGCTCCGCAGAGTTTATGAGAAACTTGAAAACCTAACACTCATTATGGAGCAAAAACAGGGAAGGAAAGGAAAGGGATGCTCATGCATAGCTTCTGCTCACAACATAACAAAGGATCTTTCAAATATTGTTTCTGGATTGACCATCTGCTTCACCGTAATCAACCACAAGAATTCACTAGCACCTTTTCTTTATATTACAACAAATAGAGATGCACGGAATCCCTTTATATGAAATCTATACATAAACATTTAAAACAGTTTGAAACCTGTAAAGTTGACCCCAACTCAAGTCTAGTAAAGAACTACATTTAGCTACAGTTCCTCATCAAGATTCATACAGAGAAGATAGGCCACCAAGCCAACCACCGGAACAAATCTAAGATAATTCACCACATCAACCTTGTTTTTCTGAACATTTTGCAAATTTTCACCTATCAGCCAGGGCTGGAAAATTATGTAGAGACATATATCCCAAATGAAAGCATAAGCAAGCCTCTCTGAATCTACATAACTAACCAAGAACTCCCATCTGTCTGTTATGCTCCCAAAATTACCATCCATTCGACCAAAAAGAGCCCATAATACTGAAATCAGGCATGCAGCCCCACCAATCAGTCCCACAAGCGGTGCACCATTGATCATGACAGTGCCTAGTTGAGAGCGCTTGCTTGGAGTACAGACGGAATCAGCCTCATTCAGCCGGATAGCCATATAGGGTATCAAGAAGGCTGGTTTCACACATGAACAATAATGATACTTTAGTCAAAACAAAATGTAAACTCCACTAACATTTCTTTAATAGAAGAAAACTCGAAAAAAAAAAAATAGAGTTAACAAGCAATAATACAAGCAGGTGGTCTTGGCCTTTAGGAATTTTAGGTGTTCACCATTCTCCTGCTGAGAAAAGTGACCCATTTTATGACCGACACAAACAAAAGAAAATCGCCAATAGTATTAATTAAGCCATCCAGCCGAATCAAGTAATCATCCTAAAAGATCTTGCAATCTTTCACCACTGCTTTAAAGGGAATGGTCAAAGCTAATCTATCTACTCATGAATCACAAGAGTGCAAAAGGAAGCATACTGTTTGTGAGGAACATCTGAAAACCCCATAAAACATCCAATGACCATCTGTATCTATTCCTCTTGCAATCAGTGAACAGCAAAGGAGCAAACATGAAAGTCCACCCAATAACAAAGTTGAATAATCCTTCAGACATCTGGTAAAAGAAATAAACACCAACACCAACGTTCGACTGTAAGAATGGTATAAAACCAAGTGCCTACCAAATCAACATTATCTTATGATCGTTCTTACCGGGTGAAGAACTGGGGCATCAATAAGACGTATGCCGACTACTCTGCCAAAAAGTTCATTGCCGAGACCATCAAGAATATACTCAACAATTAGTAAGTCATTTTATCTAACAATCATGAGTGAATTCCACAGAGACATACCAGAATTGATGAAAGGCAAGATGAAGAAGAAATTGAGAGAAAGTCCAACGAGAGAATTTACAGTTTCTGAACTGATAGCCCACACTGGATCTCCCTGCATCAACCACACACAGAAATACAAACTCACAAATTGCATTTTAGTAAAGAGAAAAAAGAAAGAAGAAGAATGGTAGTTTACTTACAGGGGCATAAGGGAGTAGAAAGAGCCACAAAATGTAAACTCCTTCAGCAACCCACAGAATAATTTGAACAACTTTCCGTACATTAACATTGCCCTCTTCGGCGGATGAGACGGTGTTGGTGTTTGAGACGATGGGTGGTTTGCGGCGGGCCGCTTGGCAAAGGAAATTGGAATTTTTGGACAAGAATAGTTGTGTTGATGGAGGGCATTGGATTTTGAAATTAAAAGCTCTAATTTGTTGCAATTTATGATGGAGAGAGACTGAAGGTGGTCTTTTGGAATTGAACTGTGGTTTTGTAGCTGCTGTGACCAAAGAGCGGTGATAGTTGCTGCAGAAGAGAGCTTGAGTTGCTGTTGCTGTTCCTGTGGCTGCCATTGTTTGCATAATTTTGAGTTAGCTTTGGCTTTCGCGTCTCCTGGCCGGCTCAGTGTTGAGCACCGATAAAAGAGTAAATTACTCATTTAGTCCCTTAATTATGATCATTTTTATAACTTAGTCCTTCATGTTTGAAAACCTTAATATGATCTCTAGACTCGTGTTAACTATGGTCTTGTTAAAACTTCTTGGTTTTTTTCCAAGCATACACTGTTAGTTTTTCTCTAAAATACAAACATATCTGTAAAGAGATTTATAAAAAAACAAATATATATTTAAAGAGGATTGTCATCTACTCTCACTTATGTAGTCATTCAATTGTCTTCATCATATTATCTTCATACGTATTAATATTTTCAATTTAAAAAAAAAATAATAATCACATAATTTATACAAATGGTTGTTTGGTAACATTCCAAAATTGAGTGGAACAATCCTTTTTCTACATGAAACATGTTAGCCAAACAATCTTTTCTCCTTAGTTTTGTCATCCATCTTCCTTTCAACAAAGGTTTATCGATTTCCTTTTTTTTTTTTTTTAATTCTCCATATTTTGAAAAAGAAAAACTGCAATTTAAATGATAAATTTTCTTTAAATATTAAATCGGTAAATCCTTAAATTTAAATGTTTTTTTAGTGCCCACAATTATTTTAGATTAAAAAGACCGATATATCTCTCGGATGAACTTTCAAGTGGCATTTTTTAATCGACATATGATAAAAAATATATCTTATTTAGATATTAAAAAAATAAATTTTTTTAGAGAAAACTACAATTTAAGTGCTCAATATTTGATTTTCTTTTTAATTTAAGATTTCTCAATTTTCCGAGGTTGAAAAATATTGACGTAGTTGAGATCCACAACATGCGACAACCTTTAACTTACACATGAAAAAAAATAGATTCCACTTAGATTTATTGAGAAAAATAATATATATATATATATAGTTGATAATAATTAAAAAAATCAAATTAATTATTGTTAACTAAATGAACTCAATAAGTTTAGTGACTAATTTCTTGAAACACTTCAAATATGTCATCAACTAAATATTTTATTTGTCTAATTCAAGAGTTTTAACTTTATATCATCTAAACAATTCAAGTTCATTTGATTAAAAGTAATTGATTTTTGATTTTTTTAATTCTTCTCAATTATTATTATTTTTTAATTTTTTGCTCAATAAATTTAAGTGAGACCCATTTTTTGTTATATGTTAGTAAATCTTGATCACAGTTAGTATTTTTCAGTTGCAAATGATTGAAAGAACTCAAATACAAAAAGATAAAAAGAAGAAACAAACGTTGAATACTCAAAGAGAAAAATAATCAAAAGTTAGACACTTAAATTGTATTTTTTTCTTATGAATAATCAAATAAAGTGAGACTCACATTTTTATCATATATCTATTAAAACTTATCATGTAGCAATTTATTCCAAACATATCAGTATTTTTAGTTTTATATGATTGTGAATACTCAAATTAAAAAAAATCAAAATCAAAATTTAAACATTCAAATAGAAGAATTTACACATTGAATACTAAAGTAGAAAAAAATGAAAAATAAGTGTTTAACACTCAAATTATGATTGAAAACGGATTGAGTTGATACTTATTATCAGTTATTTTCATCGAAACACATAGTCATCAAAGACAAAAAATTCATGATTTATCTATTGTTGAATATTTATTTTAAATTGCATAAAGTATTGAATTTGTATCTCATTCAATAGTTACTTGAAAACTCTTTTCAAAAAACTAATTACTTGAAATATTTTTTTTTCAAAGGAGGCATTTGTGGAACTTGGAATTTATTTAAATAATTAGTTTGGTTGTAAAAGTAAATAAAAAACGTGTTATAGAGTTTGAGATGAAAAAATAAAAATAAAAATATAGAGTTATACAAATTCAAGAAATTCGTGTAATCATTGTTTTTAAAATTATCTAAGATTCGAAAAAGAAAGATAAGAGTTGCGGGTAAAAAAAGTAATTCTATATAGCTCAAAGAAAACTAAAAAATTAGTGGAGTATATTCCTCTCATAGTGTACTGCAACATAAACAATGGAGTGCAAGAAAAAAGAAAAGAAGTCAATTTTGTCTTTTTTTGTTAGCCAAATATATATATACTACAACACAACCAATCACAAAACTGAAAAAAATGCCAAACCATGTTAAAATAATATGGCAAAGACGATCGAGTGACTATATCAGCGGAGGTAAATAACAGTACTCATGTTTTAACAAAACTAACGTTAAGAAGAGTAAAAACATAATGTTACAGGTTTCTAAAGATAAAAGACTTAGTTACATGCAAGGTCAAAACATTTAGATGTCATTTAGTTACTAAAAATAAAAAAATTAAAATTAAAATATTAAAATTGAAATAAGAATTAAAAAATTAAAATGATATTTATATTTTTATATTTTGTTCGGAATATTAACAAGAATCAGAATGAAATTTAATTTTTTTAATATCTTATTTTTTGTACGAATAAAAATAATTATAGAAAAATAATTTTATCAAACTATAATGATTGTAAAAGTAATAAAAGTGATGGTAGAAATAATTAATACACAATAAATAAAATATATTATCATTTAAAAAAATAATTCTCATTTCTTATTTTTATTCTCATCTTTTAAATGAAAATGAATTTATGTGTAATTTTTATTTTCATTAGTACTTCATTCATTTCAACCAAACAACTACAAATTATAAATAAAATTTTTATTCTCATTCTTACTACTATATTCTTGATAAACAAACAACACCTCTAGGATTAAGTAAATATTTTTAGGTGCCATTTAGTTATTTAAAATGAAAAGCTCATAATAAAAATAAAGAAATTAAAATAATATGTTAATATTAATATTATATTTAAAATAAAAAAAATAAAAATACAATTTAATACTTTTAATATTTAATTTTTACATGAAAAAAATAATGATTAAAAAAATGTTGTCATGACAGTAAAAATCATTAAGATGATTAAGGAAAATGACAACGCATCGGCAGAAAAACTAAGAGACTAGATACGGTGCCGTTTGAAACGACCATTCCCCTTGTCTTCTCATCGAGCAAGTTATTTGATCTCCTCGCTAGCCACACACTTTTTGTGGTTTTTTCAGAGGCATATTTCCCGCGCATTTTCTCTCAGTTTCCGGTCGAAAATGGCTCCCAAATCCGATAGCACCGAAGGTAAATCTCCTCCGAATCTCATGAAACACTCCATTAATTACATATTATCGAGAGTATCCATGTTAAATTTCAACTCAAATCGTCCTTAATCGCCTCTTAATCACCGTTTTAGTCCGATTAATATTCAAAGTTTTATACTCTATTTGTTTGCAGCTATCGTGCTCAACTTCGTGAATGAGGTACCTAAACCTTCCTATTTTAGAGATTTCACTTTTTCATCGCTCTTGTTCGGTTTCTATTAGAGAGGAAATAAAATTTTATATACTAATTTCTGTTTTTATTTTGTTTTAGAAAATAATAAATAAAAATGTAAATTAAGAGGAAATCTGACTTCAAATTCATTTTCATCGAGTTTAATTTAATTTTTGTATTTTCTCTTTTGTAGCAAAATAAACCATTGAATTCTCAAAATGTGGCTGACTCGTTGCAAAAGTTCAACCTGAAAAAGGCAGCCGTACAGAAAGCACTGGATAATCTTGCGGATAATGGGAAAATTTCGTTTAAGGAGTATGGTAAGCAGAAGATATATATTGCTCAGCAAGACCAGTTTGACATTCCGAACAGCGAAGAGCTTAATCAAATGAAGGAAGAAAATGCTAAACTGCAGCAACAGCTGGATGAGCAGAAGAGAGGAATTAGTGAGGTCGAGGGAGGTATTTTCTATGCGCAGCTGATATGTATTCTGAATTAGTAGCTAGAGTGGTTATATTTTTTGTTAAGAGAAGCGAATATTGCCTGGGTGAATCTGATGAATTTCTGGGTTAGAAGAACTGTTTAAGATGTCTTGATTGTTTATTATGTTGTGACTTACACTGATGTACACAAAGCTTCACGTGGGTTTCAGCTTTGTGAATTTCAGGAGAACTATTTGAAAAAGTCAATAATCTAATGGGAGAATTGATGTACACTATTGCAGAAATTAGAACCTTGAAGTTGAATCTGACACTGGACGAGATACGTGATAGAGAAGCCAAGCTGAGGAAGGAGGTAAATTATGCGTGCTTTTGAAGTGTTTCTATGAAGAAGAATGGAGAGAGTTAAGGACTTTTGATTTCTGTATCAGGTAAAAGAAATGGATGACAAATTGGTAAAACTGCGCAATGGAGTTACCTTGATCAGGCCAGAAGAGCGGAAGGCAATTGAGGAAATGTATTCAGAGAAATTAAGTCAGTGGAGAAAGCGGAAAAGGATGTTCAAGGATGTGTGGGATGCTATAACTGAGAACTCACCCAAGGATCTAAAAGAATTCAAGGTCATCTTTGTATTTTCATGTATTGACAGCACATGCAATTTGCTTTGCAGGAGTTGGGTTTAATAAATATATTTATGTTTTTGCAGGAGGAACTTGGCCTTGAATATGATGAAGATGTTGGTGTGAGCTTGCAGTCATTCAGTGACCTGCTGCAACCTGGCAAGAAGCGAGCCAGAGGCCAGTAACTTTATAGGACGAAATGCATATTTGATGAAGCATTAGGCACAAGTTGTTGGTATTTTTTTAAGAGGTAAGCCACTTATAAAATTTGTAGATTCTTTATCCTTGTAGAAAGTAAATTTGTCGCCTCTGATCCAGATGAGTAGGTTTAAACTTCACAAATGTTACATGCTGGACCACTGTTTTGTAAAGTGCATGGTATTCTAATTTAAGTGGTTTTCGATATGAATTTAATGCAGTTTACATGGAGGACCTATTCAAAGTAAAGGATAGCCAGTTCTCATTTAAATAGTTTTATGGAATCCATTAGATGGTTCTTGAATGGTGCAATATCTTTTGCAAAGCAATATTAGCTTGCCATTAGTGTGAATGCCTTTATATAACTGGATGATTATTGATCTTTTCTTATTGATGTGTGTTTGGAGAAATGATCAATGATTGATTTATGTCTCAGCATTGATGACCACAAGGCAGCTGAGTCACTTGCCTCCTGTGCTTCTATGCTGCGCACTCTTCAGAATTTCTGAAGGTCTTCATGCCTTTTGTGTTTTAGTCTAATTGGTAATAAGAAATGTGCACATCTGATGCTAGGGGGTCCTTGATTTTCCACAGAGGATGGTTTGCGCTCTTTTTCACATTTCTTGTTAAGAATCCTCTTCAATACAAACATAGAAACTTCATAGGTTCCTCTGTTTTTTACAAAATTCAGTAAAAAGATACAAAGAACTCACAACCAAACAACTAAATAAGTTCACAATATTTAGGAAAAAGAATGAACAGATGTAACCTATAATTAACCCTTCCTGTTGGCAGGGTCACCGAACTTTAACAACAGACTCAATATGCTTATGCTTCTCAGAATCCTCGCACTAGTCTGGTCCTGACAGAAATTGGTTCCTTCTTTATTTTAACCGCTGTGAACTTTGAATACCAGGTCCTTCTGTAGCAAGTTTTGTATAATATCCATGTCTTGAATCCACCTTCAGACCACTTTGAATGATTCTAGGGATTTTCTTACTAGAATTTTCAGTTGTCAGGATCTCTCTTTGCTGTTGAAGTCCAATTTCTCACTTTCATTGTCGCTCTCATCAAAAAATATATCCTTCTCTAACTACTTGGTTGGGTCCTCTGCTTCCAAGGACATTGCATTCACCTTCAAAGTCTCTTGAGTATTTGCATTCACGGCTTCATTTTTGTGGTGGATTTCCTGATTTTTCAATTGAGGTTCAATTTGTATGGGCTTGTCTTTGTGAGACACGTTTCTTCCTCTTTTATGACTATTCTGATTATCATGATTATCAGGATCATGAGGACCAGATCGAGAGAGTTCCACAGCTGCTCTTGCAGCTGCTGCTGCATAGGCAGCTGACTCAAAAGCTGTCTGGGCTGCATCAGCTACATCCCTGTACTTTTTTCTTGCATGCGCTGAATCAGAGAGCCCATCTTTTTCTATCGCTTCAGGCAACATTTGCAAATCGTCACCCAGCTTAGTCCCTCCAGAACTAGTTAACGTCTCTGTCTGAGCTTGGTTTTGGTTCTTGTTGAAATTCAAATTTTCCTGCATTTTTCATATGTTTAGTCTTGATTATATATATATAGTTGTTGGTTGTACTTCATGATCATATTGAAACCTGCATACCTCAGTGGTAGTGGAAGAACTCTCTTCAAGTTGCAGAACTATACTGTTTTCTGAAGCAATTTCCTTGAGCACCTTCATTCTTCTCTCGAACTCTGGCTGCCGGGTTGACAACTTTTGTATCATCTACAAAAACCCAAGATGGCACGTTATGATTTACGTATATATTAAACATTAGATAAATCAGAGCTGCTATCAAAATAATTCGGAATATTTCTCTTGATTCAGACAAAATACGCATGTTGCTAGATAATTAGGCATTTTATATTCCCAGATACGAGAATTGAAAGAGTAATTTTGGAAGCATCTACAAAGCATGAGAAAACAGCTTCTTCACTGTTGCTGCTTCTGCCCCTGCTACAATTTTCATCATTAAACCTAAAAGCAGAGCAAGTTCCACCAATAAAATTGTCCTTTCTTTTTTTGGTTTAAAGATATAGGTGTCTGGAAAGGCTAACCACACATCCAACAGCCCTTCACACTCACAAGCCTATGACGGGATTATCATTGCACCTATGTAGCATCTGCAATCGGATGTAGATATGCCATCTCATCAACAAGTCATGATGGGATTTTGAAACTTAAAATCATAGGTTGAGCGAGTATTCTCTTTATAACTTGAACCAATTCTTTGGTAAAATTGTCCATTTCATAACCATCATCAAACCTCAAAACAACTCAAAAAACTATTCTCTCCAGACAAGGGCTTTACTATCATCATCAAGCACCAAATGTAACAAATTTATCACCAAAATCTCACGTGAAACAAGACCTTCGCTCTCCTTTACAATGATTGCCTAAACCGGTGTCTTGAGAGTTTAGATTTTTAGGGAAAAGATCGAGCAAATGCCTTCTTTTGCAAAATTAATGTCTTGTGCTGAAATTAACAAAGTGGGTCAATTCTTTCCCTGCTTAATTTGACAAATTCTTACAATCAAAACATACCTGAGGGTTCACTCTGCAATGGTTACGCAATTCAACAGCACTGGCAACAAATTCCTTGCCATAACGGGAGGTGAAAGTCGTACGAATTTCTTGAAGCTCAGGGAAATCCCCAAATCTCGTAGAAGCATAAAGCAAACCTGATATCGCCTCCCTCAATTCTTCAGGACACGCTCTGTGATAAATAGTAATGAATAAAAAAAACCAAGCCCATCAACAGAATGAAAAACTGAAAATTACTGATGAAAGGAAAAGGATATAGAAACTTTAAACATATCACTGGTTGAAAACAGAAACCAACTTTTCTTGTTCAATAAGATGGAGTCTTTCTATCAATAAATTGCAGTATCCTTCCGTCATCACATATACATCCAACATATTCTGATCTTTGATCACATGCTCGACCTGTTAAAGAAATTAAAATGAAAGAGACTATAAACTAAAGTTCATTGAAAAAAAAAAGAAGATGTATATGAAGGCATGATGTAAAGGACGTGAAAAATCTTACTCGAAGAAGAGCACGATCATGGTGACCTTGTTCAAGAAGCTGAACCACATCAGAGCGGGCTTGATTGCACCTGACCTGGCGTTGGTGTTTGAATATAGCAATGCGAGAGATGGCAAGACTGGCAACTGCTTTGAACTTATAGGCTTTGAAAGTTCTTCCCAGAATAGCATCAAGCTTTTTTCCCATGTGCTAAGCTTTTGAGTGAGCTCTTAAGTGCCACAATATTAACAAACACTAACTAAGGAGATGATGTAATACTGAGCAGGCGCAAGAGAATTTATGTGATGACGAGAGAGACAGAGAGAGTTGCGTTTTGAAGACTTTGGAGGTAAAAACATATACGCGTTTGTGAGTTTTCTTACAAACGAAGTTTAAAGATGGAAGGCGAAAATGGGAATTGAAGGTTTAAATTTACGCGGTTGGTTTGTCAATTTCGAGGAAACGAGAAAGATTTTGGTTTCCAAATGGACCTTTATTCTATGAGACAGCTTGTTTAGATGCTGACTGTACGTGTGGAATTCTGGGCAATCATTTGTGGGTCAGTTTGGCTCTAGGTGACGTGTAAATGGAAAACCACCGCTCTTCTCCAACCTTTAATTGAAAATTACTCATTCAATGCTCACTGATTATTATTTAATTTACATAAATCAAATTGGTAAGCTGTCGATTAACTTGTTCGATAAAATGTTGAAGGGTGATACTTATGTCTTGATGCACTTCGCACAATCACATTACTGGAATGTATTTGGTCTCTAGTTTTACGTACATTTATTCGGAGAGGGGGAACATGAATGCTAGTTAAGTTTTATGTTCACTAACCGTGTTGTATCATTCCTTTTTAAAGAGAAACTGTCATGTACTTGTATAATGAGATATATGTTGATAGATTATATTTTTATATTTTAAATAAGTTTTCAATTTATCTTTCTTATTATATTTTTCGACAAAACAATCAAAGCATGTAACGTGATTTATACATAATTAATTTTATATAAAAAATACTCATCAATTAAATATCTATATATAATTCATCATCCATCACCACTCTCTCACCAAACATATTTTTTAATTGAAAAGTTACAAGTTTACATGGTTAGACTTGAGTTTTGATGATAAAAGGATGTTTGAGGCAATAAATGGCCAAAAAAAAAAAAAAAAAGAGAGAAAAGTGGAGAAAGTGGGAGATTGGTGGTGGTTGGCGGAAGAATACTTGATATTAACCCAAAAAAAATATGAGAAAAAAATAGAAAATATTGGTTTTATGATCGAAGGGTGTAGATCAACAAATTAGGGTTTGATTTTAAGTGAAAATATAGATCAACAAATAGGGGTTTTGACTTGAAATAATGAAGGTTTTTTGGGATGGCTGAAAAAGTGACTGATTTATTGTTCTGAAGTGTTTTGAAAGAGAGTGGTGATAGATGATAACTTGCACGTGTATTTTATAAATAAAATCATTATGTGCAAATAACGTGATATTTTCTTATGCTTTTATTGAAAAATATCAATATCATTATCATAACGATAGAATGAAAACTCACGAATTACGTAACATAATTAACTTATTTTAGGATATACATAATACATAAATATAATTGGATTATTTTAATGTATAAAAAAAAATTAGATATTTTTTCCATTATATAAGGACATTAGGACATGTTAGGTCATTTCTCTCAATTTTTTGACCAGAATATATGCTATATAAATTACTTTTTCATAATCCAATTTTTAACAAAACTCACTGAAAAAATTTCAAGAAATTTTCTAAATAAATCATGAAGATATTACGAAAAAAAGTAAATCAGAAACTACAAGATTTTCTTATAGAAGCATTCTTCTCTTTTTAGACTATATGATCTGGACACATTTCTCTCTTAATTCGTAATTACTAAATAGTTTCCTTAACCTTGGTTTGTTGGATGAGAAATTAGTTAATCGTATTTCTTGGAGATAAATAAATTTTCTACGAGTTAATTGAGTTTTACTCGTAAGCTACTTTATTTAATCTAATTAAATTTTCCTCAATATGTCCTGTTTAAAGAAGATGAGGTTTCAAAAATCAAACTCTTACTCCCTTCATTGAAAATCTTATAATCTTTTACTGCTGTACAAAAGAATTTTAACATTCATACTAGTGGAGAGTTATTTAACATCCGTTGGATGGAGCCTACTTAATTTAATGTATCTCTTTATATCAAAATAGAAATGGGTCATTTGTTAATTGCCTAGCTGGTTGTCCACTTTACGTGAACGTTGGTTCTTCTCCCTCCATTTCCATTCACGAAACCATAAAACCAAAGGCACTAGCTTGAAATTCTGTCACCTATTAATTTTATTTTTTTAAAAAAAAAACCTAATTCCAAGCAAACCAGAAAAAAAGAGCGTATGAGAAATGACAAATTTGAAATAAACGAATAAGAGGAAGGAGTAATAGGATAAATAAGTGCCCTGAATGAATGGATAACGGAGGAAATAACTTGTGACTGGTGGATTTGTGTTTAGGAGAGGATGAGATTATAAAGGAAAGGAATTGTTAGAACTTAAAAACAGGGGAAAATGGCTACCGTATGGTTTTTCTATTTTTCTTTTGAGCATTGGGTTTTGATGCGAGCCAGATGTAGCGGGTTGTATGGAGGGCATAGATCAAATAGGGTGACTGGTAATAATTCTGTATAGGTACAAAATTTTTGTACCATAGAATTATCCATAAATATCATTTTAAACTTTTCTAGATTTATATTATGTTCTCCAACAGTCTAGTGCCAATTCCACCGAAATCACGATTGTTTGGCTTACATTGTTTTATGTTATACCCCCTCTTTTAGTCACATAAGACGTTGAAGAATGATCTTGAATCGACCAAGCACCTACTTTCATGCGGCAGCAACACAGTCCTTACATTGTAATGGCACCATATGTCCCTCCTAGCATACGTTATGCGGAATACCAAGTCAAGATTGTATTCACATTTCGGCTACAAGGAAAAGTCATTGTTTTCTTCAACACGCTTTCCAAGGAATGAATTCCCACCTAAAAACATGACAATCCAGACGAAAAACCAAAATTTCGACAAGCTATAACCTCAAGGTATATTCCACATGGCGTAAATAACAAATACCATGGCATGATTGCAGTCATGATTTCTCGAAGACTTTCAAAAATGTTACTTCTGCAAGAAACCTAGGAAATCAAATAACCTTCCTCCTCCAACTGCTGCAGACTGAAAAGTCCACTGTTGGCCAACTGTTAGTTAAACTTTTACAGATTAACCAACAGCTGTCACAGCACCTTTTTGGCACAGCATATAAATTTAACTAACTAAGGTTCCGTTTGGTGTATCTATATCTATTGCCGTAGTAGTAGCTATTAATTATGAACGTTATGCTTTGTTAAAGAATGTTGTTATCATACTCGAAAAGAATCCTTGGATAAATAATAATAATAATAGTAATAAAAATACTTCAAAAAGAATCCTAGAAAAAAGGTAAAAGCCCTTTAGATTCTCTCTTCCCTGTTAATTCACACCGTTGCACCATTTTCGCTATAGGCATTTGATACTCTATCCAGAGTCCATTACCCGAGTTACAAAGAACCCGATTAAATCCAGGCCTTCCAGGTTACAGTACAGAAGCTACTCTCGGCACATCACGACAAACGTTCGCATAAAGTTATCAACAGAACAATAACATCCTCAGCTGGTGAACTTTCAAACCAGAACTCGAAATTGTAAGTTCATAACCAATTTCATGCTTGTGGAAAGTCTCTCTCTTTGAATCTATGCTGTCAAAATTTCAAAGGTACTTTGAAATCCTATATTTTTCCATATCGTAATTCAACTTCGAGGCAGATATATTTGTTGCCATAATTAGCAAAGCTAAAAAGGTCATAACCACTTGTAATGTTTCTTTCAATAAACCATTGAAGTACAAATAAATTCCAAATTTTCTTTGCACCTCGTTTTTAATAGTTCAACATAATTCATCATCTGATCCCAATCTATCCAGAACCAAAAACAATAAAAAACATGAGGTGAATCTCTCCCAACCAGCTGAAAGACCACTGTAAATAGCATTTCATTTCCCTTTTGGATGAATATACAAACTCTGGTAATAATATTACAAAGTATAAATTGCCTGAATAACACCACCTCCTGGTAGCAGAACATTTTTTTAAGCTCTATTCAGGTAAAGAACGAGAACATAGAATAATAGTAGTAATCAGAAAAATTAGAATTAAAAAAGAATAGCCATTATTAATCTAAATCACATTGATTATCCCATAGGTTTCAATACTGGAACTTAAAGAACGGCGAAAAAGGCATTTAATATAATTCTTCACCCAAAAAAAAAAAAAAAAAATCCCCACAATTTTCTAGGACCATTTACCAAAGTATTGAAATATACAGAACATAACTATCAGGGAAATCCCAGTTCATTGAGATCTCACTCGATCACAAGTAATTGGTCTACGAAAACTTCACAACAAACAGCAAAAAATTTTGGTGTTACATGAAATAGCACCTAATGTACTGAAAAAAACATTCAGCATGACAAAAATATAATTGCTGAGCAGATGCTATCACATAAAATTTCATGAAACGGCCAAAACAATTAGATTACGCACTCAAAACATACTGATATAAAAAGCATCATAGAACACACATCCACACACCTTTTGCAAACATTATGTTACAAGGATGCCTCTCCCTCCAGCCATCCCCCCGCCTAAAAATCAAAAGAGAGAAAAGGGTTGAACAACTAACAGGTCTTGGATCACATGATAAGAATAAATTGTGATGCCACTCACTCCTTTCTTTGGCTTGTCATCCTTTACCAATTTATGCAAAAGTTCTGAATTCAAAAACATTCCATTTTTGGCAATTAATAAGAACGCAAACAAGAAATAAAAGGACACATCAACAGAACATAGTGGATGATTTTCCAAGCTCATTTTTCCTCCAATAATATCATAAAACCTTTCACTGCATCCCAACAAATATACATAGAGCTTACTAGCCATTGCCAGTTATGTCAAAGGCAATTCAAAATCAGTTTGAGAAGCAAGAAACTTGAGAAAAAAAAAAAAAAACAAAACAAAACAAAACCTTTCCATCTTCTCAGAAAGAAAGCAAATGACCCAGTATATGATTTTAAGAACCAAAATATCAAGTCCGCATTAGTCACACAAAGAGAAACAAATTGATAAAAATTGAACCTTAAATCATAGTGCCATACTCAAGAAGTTGGTTACATAACTAAACAAAATATATCATTTCTAAACTCAGTAATGCCGAAGGCAGAACATTAGAGGACCATAAAGCTTGAGAAAAATAAACAGAAATCTAGAAGAAAGTTGAAGAATATATTCTAATTCTTTTTCTTTTGTTTTCTTTTTTATTTTTTTATGTTTTCCTTTTTCCTCTTTCACAAGTCTCATAAAATGACCCAGCGACTTGCTCCAAATTATTTTCCGATTGTGTGTTTTGAGTTTGGACTAGAAATTATTCCATAAATCACTATAGACGATATTTGACTACAATCAGAGGTTGCACTGAATGAGCATTACAATTATGTCATTTATTTCATACTGACAGATACGTATCATACGAAACATATATCCTAGCCACCAGCCTAAATAGCTATTGACATCAATTAAGAATTGCATGACGTAAATTTTTTTTCCTATTAAAATAGTCACACTCGCTATAGACAATATTTACTTTAATAAACTAGGCCTGGGGACATATTTTGTCCCTCAACTTTGCCCTGAATGGCAAACCAACCCCTACAAAAAAGCTTGCCAGATCAATCTAAGTTCCCTTTTAATAAACTCCATTCTGTTTTGTCATGCCACTTGCAAGATCACTACGAGACCAGGCATTATCTGAGACCAATTTTAATTCGCCAAAAAATTCATATTAAAGGTTATGTCATGTTTATGTAATAGTTGAAAAAGAAAACAAAATTAATTCATCTGATTAAAACACGTGAAAGAACAGCAACATGATCATTTCAGTTATCAATATTCAAATCCATTGATCTCACAATCATTACTCTCTCTGCCCCCCTTCTTCCCCTTGTTTCTCTCTTCTACACCCAAACCTAGAACAATATGGCCATACCAATTTGGCTATCTGACAATGATAAATCCAGATCTCAGGTGGTTAAGGTAAGAGATTGCGTGAGCAGAAGGAAAGTCTTGAAACTAGAGAATCTTATTGGCCAACAAAATGCCATGCTTCTCATTGTTTTGTGAACAATTCTAGCAAGATAAAAAATCAATATACTTGAAGGCTTGTAGCATGTGCAATACTTTTCCAAACAATCCCCTTTCCTCACTACATGACCAAACACAAAACACCTATTGCTATAACTGCAAATATGGAAACATGGTGCTAGAGTAGGCTATGGAAGACAACTAGGTCAACTTCTTCCTATCCACAGCAACCAGTCATGGTTGAGGCATAATGAGAAAAATATTTGGGTCCAAATCCACATAAGTTTGACAGATATTTTTCCATATCATCCAAAACGACAATGATAAACGGGGACTGAAAAGGCCACCAAAAAAAAAATAAATAAATAAAAACAGAGGACTGCAATGTATCATTTATTTTTTTATTTTTTTGCATAAGGTTGTTTTGCCATTTAGAGCAAAATGACAAAAAAAAATATTAAACAATAGATGAGTAATTATTGATTTTAAATTTTCAGATAATTTCTAAAATCTATAACAATTGGGTCAAAATTGACCTGATAGTGACTCATGGTTTTAGTGATCACCAAAAATCCATGACAAGAGGGTTTCAAACAAATGACTCAGGATTAACACAATCACAACTTGTCAAAACATTAAGGAAAATCGGCCCACAAACTCAGAAACAAGTTAATTTGTCTTAATTAATTAGAATTTTATCATTGTTAGGACAGATCTTAAAAAAAGCATCAATAAGTTCAACCAGATTTCCTACTTCAAATATGTTTTTACAACTTAAATATGAGAACAGATGAAGTTTTGCCTGAAACTTATACTTCACAATAGTATTTTGTCACATCCTGAGTTTTAGATCCAAGTTATAGATAAAACTTTCATAGGAGGAACACCGACTACATATGAAGCAATACGTGAATCTTATGAAGTATCTGTAACAGACACTAAGGCAACATTAGAGATCAAAATTCAAGAAACCTAACATCAAACATTTCGTGTCATTAAAAATTGCACACACCTCAAGTAACCAATTAGTTTTCAAATACTTACCAGAGCTGCAAATGGATGAGATAGTGCCCTAAAAAAAGAGGAAGCGATATTGATACATTAGTATTTCCAATGGAATACAACATGCTCCCTATATAGCCCATTTAAGGAGAGAAGTATGAAATCTTAAAACTGAATTACTTACTAAAAATTACTTTCACTTCAAGTTTGCAGCAGCACATCTCCGGAGCAAGTGCCTCCAGAATGACAGACCATGGATCAGATGCATACACTACGTTAGACACATATATTGTAAAGTAAAACAAAATAATAGCTACAACCATTAATAACAACCACAAAAATATGAACACTGCTGAAGAAGTGTAACAAGTCTCAAACACAATTTACATATTGCAAAACAAAAAAGGATGCCAGATATAGAAGCACTGCCATCTAAAAAGCTTAATTAACAGCACATCCAGAGATGTGTGCTTTGAAAGCACAAGCAAGATGGCAAGTAAGACACAAGTCAGAATTTCCCGCGTTGAAGGTCCAAACTGACAAAAGAGACACAAACAACACTATTCTCGAAAAAAGATAAGCAAGCCTAGGATTTCAACTTAGTTCAAGCTCACAACAGGAAAAGAAGCAAAAAAATTTCCAGCACTTTCAAGGGGTTAACAAATAAGCTCCTAATAAACAAACCAAGGTACCTTCTCCTGGGTGCCTTTTAAGCATCTAAACACTGGAAGGATGCCTCAATGCAGGGAAGATTATCCTGAATGAAAAATTCAATTAGACTCTTTAAGGACAAAAAAAATCATATAAAATGGCAAGAGAAAATATAGACTGCAAATATAAAAGTAAAATAATTTTAGCACTAAGAATGGCTAACGTTTTGATATTCAGCACTAAATACAAACTACAGGATTAGAAACTAAAGGTTAAAACAGCAGAAAACAAGATTCTTCCAGCCAGCTTCAGAAAAGGGGTCTCAAAGAACAAATACAATAACTAACTCATGGGATCCAGAGTATTCCTTTCCTTATTATGTATCCCACAAATCCAATTGCAGCAACCATGTCCAGATTACAAAAACAATTATAGTAGGGAAATAAGAGCAAATATGATAAATTTTCACAATGCCCACAATAAAAAATGATTACAAGAAGAGAAAAAACGCCTTTGGCAAGTTGTCTTACAATAGAACCAGTACATTCCACTGAATGAACCGCCTGTAAAGAGTAATGCTGACCACATATCACCAGTTTTGACTTCAACCATGCCAAAAACTGCCCAAAGCTCAAGAGGCCAGAACACAGAAGATAAAGTAATGTGCAATTATTAGATATCTGAATGAGTTAGGTCATAATGTACAAAATCTAGCGCAACAGCATTTCTGGAGTCAGAAAACCAGCAACATGGTTCACTTGCCCGTGATGAATGGGTGAGCTAGTGCTTGATAAACTGTCATCCTCTTCTCAGGATCCAACACAAAGATTTTTTCTAGAAGATCTTTAAAGTTTGCTAACATCTTTGGATCCTCACCAGGAGAGCCTGAAATAATGGATCCAATATCTTTTGCCTTTATGTTCACAATAATCTTTTTCATAATCTGCAGAAAAACAAGGAAAAAAAATCAAATCAATCAAATTTGAAATGGAGCAACCATCAACAAATGTTAAGAACTAGTATGTAACTGGAACCTATGCATAAAACATACCTTTTTAGTGACAGGATCTTCCTCTGTAGCATGAAAATTCAAATCATGGTCAAAATGCTGGTCAACAAATGCACCCTGCATGCAGAAGTCAAATCAATGTCAGATAAACAAGGAAAGCCCAAATTCAGCAACAGAGGTGAAGACCACCCCAGAGAAAACCTAACACCATTGGGTTGCATATTTATGAACCACCAACAATGATTATCGGGGGTGGGGTGGTTGTTGCGGATCTTACCTTCTTAAGCATCTTCTTCGGGAAAGGGCCCTTCAATTCCATGTGAAGTCGCAGCATGTCATTGTTTGTAGAACCTGGAAAAAGAACTTTTCCAGAATAAAGCTCATACAAGCAACATCCAACAGACCACATATCCATCGGATGATCATACGGCAAGCCAAGAACTGTAATGACAGTACACCAAAATTCGTAAATGCTTTTTTCTATTTGGAAACAAAAATTTTACCATAATAATGTTGTGCCATTAAATTATTTTTTTCTAGAGAACATATGTCAATATCAATTTATCCAACAACAAGACTATACAGAATAGTAGTTTAATAATGGAACTTACTTATTTCAGGAGCACGATAAAATCGGCTTACAAGGTATGGTGTAATTTCATTTTTACCAGAAAACATCGCATTACCAAAATCACAAAGCTTCAGCACATTTTTTGCCTCATTTACCTGTGAGAAAAGAGAGTAAAGGAAAAAGGTGAATAAAATAGCAGTTAAGCAATGGATAATTAACTAAGAAGCATAATACAATTGTGGTACTGAAACTTACCAGCATATTATCAGGCTTTATATCACTGTGAAGAACACCGCAGTTTCTTAGATGCTTCAGAGCAATAAAAAGCTGCTTTGCATATGCTCTAACGGCAGTTAGTTTAAGGCCAATATCTCGACCAAACTTTTTTAAGACCTCACGCAGGTTCATATGAAGAGATTCAAAAACTAAACAAAGATGATTTCTATACTTGAAACTTGAAAGAAAACGAACACAATGACGCTTGTTCTCGGGATCTTGGCCTGCTAATTTCTTCAGTATTGAAACCTCTGTATCACCAGCCTTGCGCCTTCACCATAGATGTAGAATCAGTGGTCAATAAAATAGGTTGCCAAAAAAATATATGGATAAGAAAAGAGAAAGCACGGTATTATTAAAAAATAAATACTAACATTGTTTCATTGTTACGTATAATTTTTATAGCGACTTCTTCAGATTCATCAATGCCAGCCTTCAGATCCTTTGCACGAACTACTGTAGAAAAGACACCTTTTCCATGAGCAGCAACAATCTCATATCGACCATCAAGTACTTCTCCAAATCGGTGGCCTACATACCAAAATAATAATACCATAAATAATTGAAAAGGCTATTTGAAAACAAAAATAGCATATTGATCAACCAAATTCACAAATTTTCAAGGTTTATAAATGTTTGCGACAAATTCAAGACACATCTTGTACTTTCTATTATTGCAACTGAAATGATGTAAAGAGAAGTCTCGTCTTCCAGAACAGGAAAAACACAAGTTCTGGAAAGAAAATAAAATAAAAGCAACTCCTGAAATATAATGTCAATGAGACTTCTTTTTAACACTAGAAACAAGTAGAATGAAAGGCCCTCTTTCTTGTCTCCTACCAAGAAAAACACCAAATATTCCCTTATCTTACTATAGAAAAAGAGACCACACAATATTTTTGTTGCTTTAATGTCGCCACTAAACAAATAGCTGGCACTTTATTGGGATAGAAAAACGATCTGTTAAAATAGATTAAAAAAAAAGGCTTTTTTTGTGAAGAATCAAGTTCAAAAATATCCATATCTTAAAAAGAAGTTTCTTTATTAGGACCTACATTGAAAAAGAAAAAGAAGTATGATTTTGGCAGTGCTCAAGACAGAAACTAGGAATAAGGACAACAGGAAAGGCAATAAAGAAGAGAAGATCACATCTCAAGATACTTACTATAATACCCTACAGGATCATCCCAATTGTCATGAAGACCGCTCCTTGCGACTGGCAATCCCTCTCCTTTACCCTGCAACACATTTCAAAGCACAAATCCTTAGCATAGTTGCTCATAAATATGTTAAAACTGCATTATACAAAAAACAGAGCAAGTAAAAACAACAAAAAAGACAGATAACAAGATGAACAAAACTGTGGATCTTACCGATTTACGAACTCCAACAGGCGTCTCTCCAAAAATATCATCGCAATATTTTTCCTCTGATCTCTCACTCTACACAAAATAGTAACCAAAAAGAATCATCAGCAAAGCAAATAAATGACAAACTCCATTATGATTCAGTAGTAAATGACCTATATAAATATTAAGCACGATCAACCAAGTAGCTTAAAACATATGACATTAGAGAACAGATAGACACACCTTTGGAGAACCCTCTCCAAGCCCTGCAGCACCTGAAGTTCTATCAGGAGCTTGTATTCCATTTTGTGAAGGTGATTTCCCCACAGAAAAAGATGTCTCGGCAACATAAACATCAGCACCATCAGTCCTACCATCAACACTTTCTGGAGCAACATTGTCAGCTGCTGTTGATTGACCAGAACCTTCTATCAGCTCCTTATCTGCTCCACACAATACAATTTTGTTGTTAGATGAATTAAGCATGAGCAACACATAATAAATCACAGAAAACAAATAAAAGATCGATTGGTACAAACATCCATCCGTACTTAACCCTGCTCAAAATCAATTATCTGAATCAAAAATGAGCAGAGATTTTTCTTTTAGGATTTTGAACTTACATACAAATCATCCATCACCATCATAAACTGTCAGATGGCACCAGAATCATTGCCTGAATGCAACTCAAACTAACAAGTTAACCATTTTGTAACAATAAAAATAAGAGTTTCTAGCCCCTTATATGAGAAATAACGGAGCATATAAAAAACACATGCTCACTGTTTAAGTTGCAAAAATTGCATGTACCGCTGGAACTTGCACATCAAATAAAATGACAATTCTGAATCATGTTTCTTGATAACAGTATGAAATTTCAATAAGCAAGTTACCATATCTAAGTGAGACCCATAAAGCAAGCATTTACAACTTCAAAATCATGTTCAACCATGAAACAGCAAACTAAACAGAAGAATACTAATCCTGAGCTCAAAAGTAAATCCAAGACAGTACAATGTACAAAAGATGACGAAGAAATGGAAAAGTACCTTTGTCTGCATCTTCTGATCGAGACTCATTCTGTTGCTGTAACTGCTGATTTCTATATTTTTGAAGAATGGCTTCCCTTCGCTTTCTACTCTCCTCCTTTATTCTATTGAGATCTTCCTCTTCCTGTTCAGCTAATTTCAATGCAATCCTTTCTTCAAAATCATCTTGTTCATCTTCATCTCTGAAACCAAATATAAAAAGCATAGAAGTTAGGTCAAAAAAATGCCGGCCAGATATATATTTTCTTGAAGTTAAAAGACGTTTTGAATTGAAGTAAGCATTTCAATTCTGTGGATTAAAAGTACCTGTTTAGATTGTCTCTTCCCTGTCCAAAAGAATTGCTGTTGGAATTATAAAAGTTTACTGAATCACTCTTAATATCCCTAGATTTCTCCCGATCCCTGTCATTTCTCCTGTCCCTAACTCTATCCCTTTCCATGCACCTATCCCTATCCTTCTCCCTTTCTCTATACCTATCCCTATCTCTGTCACTGGGCCTTTGCATATTTTTTTCTTTGCTAAAATATGTTTCCTTCTGTCTTTTTCTATCTATCTCCTCCACCCTGTCCCTACTCCTCACCCATTCTTTCTCCTCCCTCCTCCTTTCCTCGTCTACCTCCCTATCTTGTTCTTTCTCCCTTCTCCGGCCACTTTCCCTGCTCCTCCCATGTTCCATCTCCCTTCTTCTATCCCTATCCACCTCCCTCTCCCTGCTCCTCTCTTGCTCCTTATCTCTTCTCTGTTCCCTCTCCCTCTCCTTGCCCCTCTCTCTGTCCTGAGCATCCCTGTTGCGATGCCGGTCTTCTCCATCTGCGTACTTGTTGTAACTAACACTGTGTTCCCTATCCACATTTCTTATTGAATCTCTACTTCCATGCCGCAGATCCCTGCTGTCTCGAAAGATTCTTTCACCATCAGAGTCAATCTCAACCCTGTCATGGTGTCTCTTTCTTCTCAAAAGAGCCTCATCTTCAATTATGCTTCGGGAACGAGATCTCTCCCTGACTAGATCTCGCGAAATTGATCTACTCCTACGATGAAACTCATCACGGTACCTATCACACGACGGTGAGTGTGTCCTCTTATGCTTATCTTCACTGCTTTCAGAAGATGATGACTTTCTCCAATCCCTTGATTTGCTATCATCACCCTCAGTTGTATCAACATCCCGGTTACTCTTTCGCATGTTACTTCCTTTCAAACGGGACCTAGATTCCCCATGCCTCTTCTGATCATCTTTATGGTATTCACGACCCAAATTACCATTTACAAGATCCTTCGAGTCAAGATTAGAAACTAACTCGTCCCGAAGCTCAGCCCTAGAATCTTTTCGAGAGCTCGCCAGACAATTACTCACAAAACCATTGTCATTCTTTTCAAATCCCTGCCATACAATATAGAAAGAAAATTAAGTGACAATAAACTTGCAACATGACAAACAGTTTATAATTATTACAGGAAGAATATATGTCGTGAGTATGCAGGAAAAAGAAAACAGAAATAATCAGAATAACAACTTCTTACAAATGAACATAAAGCCACCAGTTCTCCACTGAAACGCCTAGGGGAAACTTCTTTCTTTTTGCAATGCACACATGTTCGTGTTTGTGGTGCAAGCAGGTTCTTACATATGTGTGTGGAACATACTCTATAAAGCTCTCACCAATGAAAAATTCATCACATATTCCAAAAATCAAAACAAGCATCCGTTTGGCCGCTGAGAAAAGTTAGTAATGAGAAGAGAAAAACAAAACGAAAACGTTTACATTCAGAAACTCAAATTTTCAAAATTCAAAAATTCGCACCTCGCATTAATCTTTTAAAGGAAAATCCAAAGAGTAAGCAATTTATTAAATTTTGAAGCTATAAAACGTAGGATACAAAACGAATTGAAATCTAAGATTCCACATTTTGGTAAATTCCTCAGCGACCAAACAAGAAGCAAAACAAGCCAAAAGAATTAACAGTTTGCATAAAAAAAATTAAATAAAAGAGGGCAAACAGAACACACCAAATTTTGAGAATCGGTAACTTCCTCGCGTAATTCACTGGCCTTGATATCGACACCGACAGAACCTTCCTCCTCAAGAATCTCCCCTTCCTCCACGTCATCAGCTCTGTTATTATTCGCAACAGGAACCGGAGGAGGAAGATTAGCAGGAGTTATCTCTTCATCGCATAGTTTGGTATCCTCTCCGTGCTTCTTGCTACGGTGACGATGACGTCGGTGGTGATGGTGACGATGTTTGTGGCGTTTTGAGGACTTCTCGACCTCGTCATCGGAGGAAGATCGTCGGTGCTTGCGACGTGAGGCATCGGAGTCGCTCGCCATTGTTTGGAGTTGACGATAGAGTAGCGAATCTAGGATTAGGGTTAGGGTTTTGTTGAATTAGGGATTTTTCTTTTCTTTTTTTTTTTTTTTCCCGGAGAGCGAAGTCAAGTGAACGAAAAGAGGTGTCTTTGGAATGACAGTTTTAGTTGCGTGAGTTAATTGAAGAGGAGGGGAGACTGTTGTGTTGTGCCGGGTACCTATCCTTTCCAGATATGAAGTGTCGCGCGCGGGCCTAAGAAAGGGTGTGGGTGGTGGGCGCTGTTGATGGAATAAGAGCACCATCGAATTGGACATTCAAAAGGTCCTTTATCACAATAGGCCCGTGGCCCAAGTAGCCCATTTCTCGCGGTCTCCATTTTGCTCTCCAAACAAATTAATTTTGCATCAATTTTGCATCCTTAATTCAGAAATTCTCAATTGAATATTTTCATCCACTTTTGATCATAGATAGCTTCTAAATTATAATTTTTTATAGTAGAAGAAATTATTTTTTTAGGGAAGTTGACATTTTCTATTAAGTAGAAAGGTTCTAAATAAGAAATCCAAACTATTTAGAGAGAAAATTGATACAAATTTTATTTGAGTTAACAGTTGTAAGAGTTCCTCCACTCTTTCTTTCATCTTGATTGTATTTCTTTATTTTTTTCTGGTCTTAAGTTCCTCCTTCAAAGTTTAGTTTCTGATTTAAGTTTGTTAATCCGTTATCTTTTTAGTCTAACAATTAATAATCACACCATTAGCTTCATAAGATTGCGACACATGTTGAATTTTTTTTCCCTATCCTGTTATTGTCCTTCCTTTTTTAGTGAAAATAAAAAATAAATAAAAAGATCATTTTAAAAATATTTTTCATTCAAAATATTATTTATGGTTTAAATTTATCTCTATAATAGCAAGTAAATTTTTTTAAATGAAATATTTATAGTATTTTAAAAAAAATATTAAGAGAATTTAAGTTAAATTTTAAACTTGTAAATGGTATTTATAGTTTTATTTAATTTGTAAAATAAAAATAAGTAAATTACAATAGACTCTTTTGAGATATTTTAAATTTTCTTTTTCAATTTTTTTCACTAAAAAAATAGAGGGATAAGATTAAGACAAAAAATAAATAAATAAGATCAACACATATCACAATTCTATAGGGCTAATTGTGCAATTTAACACCATTAACCTAAAAAAATAACAAAATAATGAATTTCAGACAGAAATCAAATGTCAAAGAACGAACTTAAATGAAAAAAAAAAAAAAAAAGCAAAAACACATAATAAAGATAGACATAATCAAGACAAAAAAGAAAAAAAAAGGTAAAAGGATCTCGTAACTGTTAACCCAAATTTTATTAGAGGCAAAATTGATACTCACTTAATAGTTGAAAGACTTATTTTGAGGTTGTCTGGTTTTCTTCATAGAATATATTCTTTTTGGAATTCGCATGGTTTCTTCGTGTGGTGCTAAATATTGAAATGTGATATGAAATCTAATTAAAAAAAAATGCTGAGATGTGAATGAAAATATGTTGTACTAAAATTTTACCTTGTACTACATTTAGTGGCTTTGTATTATTGTTATATTAACAAAAAAGAAACAAACAAAACCAACATTTACTATTTGTGCACTATGTATTTCCCTATATGTACATACCTAAGTAATACATATACCTAAGTTTATTGTGGACAGGGGCGGACCTATGTTGAATGCTACAGGGGCCTTGCCCCCTCCATTTTTTCCCCCACGAAACACCCCATGCCATACTCTTTTATCATCTTTTTTTATTTTATCACAATTCTAATTCCAATATGACATCATCTTTTTTCCTAACTGTTCTGCTTTTCAAATCTTTATCTTAGTATATCTATTTTATCTCCGTTCAAGAACTTAACTAGACAACAACCACTAGCTACCATCCAAAAACCAGGTTTGCAAACAATTCTTACCAATTCATTTATATCTCAAATTTGACGGTTGGATGCCTATATTTATTGATATTAAAGAACTTACAAAATGTTGTTCCACTCAATGTATTTTTAGAGAAACTCAATCCTTTTTTTTTAATATTTTTTAACCTTTGCCCTCGGCTCTAGCGAGCACCACTAAATCCTTAATATTTGTTTAATTTGATCTAAGTTGCCTCCCACCACTATTAAACTTGTTCCTTCTTACTTTTCCCTTAATTCTCACTCTATTCAAAGCATTAAAAAAAAAAAAAAAAAAACCTTCTCTCCGATCCGAATTTCTCTTATTTGACAATACGAGTAGGTATTTTCTTTAAAAATTAATAATTTATTAACTCTTATTATATTGTTTACACTATTAATTTGATAGTTTTTCATTTTGTATATTGATTGAATATTGACAAATCCTAATTTTCTTTTTTAAATAATATTTTATAATTAAAATATTAAATCGGTTGTCTTCTCAATTTTATCTTATATGATTAAGGTATTTATTGGATCCATAGCTTAGTAAAATTCGATAATCTATCAACTTGAATTAAAATTATACCATGGATCTTGAAATTTTGTCTTGTTGTTGTGCTTGTAGTTACGGACCCCAAAGGGAACAAAAAAAAAAAACAACAACATAAAGAGTTGTAACGATAGGAATGCAGGATTACAATATACAAATAACCATTTTTCTTTCATGAATGGTTATTAAAAAATATCTTTAATTATTTTAGTCACAACCATATTTAGATTAATATACTAGATTCTCAATTGTTTTGTTTGTTAATAATAACAATTTTTCTTATTTACATTTTATAGGTCCTATATTACTAAAGTAACTATTTTGAAATATATTCAACTTATTAGTGGAGTGGCTAGTGCTACTATAATCCTTAATATTTTTAGGTATGTATACCGAGTGAACTTGAGAGTGACTCTCAGTAGACTCGAATAGTGGTTTATTTATGTATTTTTTTAAAAAAATTGAATATCTTATTTGCAATTTAAATAAATTTGTAATTTATTGCATACCGTACTTTAAAAATTATTGCTTATTCATATTCATAGTTTATTTTTATTACGGATGAAAAAGTCACATACCATCGATATATTATTTAAAATGAAAAATGTTGTCATTTCAAACTCCAATGAGGAGTCATAAATATCTATTTAAAATATATGTTTGTATGATAATATATATAAATTTATGTAAATCATAATAAATTTATAAATATTTATCTTGACTTTGTTGATATTTGGTCATGCGTGTTGATATTTGGTCATGCGTCTACCACTAATTATGAATTAATAATCATTTGTACTATTTGTTTTAATGTGCTTTTTTCTTTTTGTTTATGAATCATTGAATTAATCATCCTTGCTATTAGGTGCATTGTTGTTTGACGGTTAATGTTTTTTATTTTATTTGGATCGTATTTGACAGCTTTTTGTTAGTTTAGTGGGAGTTGCTTTCTTTTGGCCCTTTGGTTTCTTTTTTATTTTCATTCTTATCAGTTAGTAGTTTTGTGTTATTACATTCTTACTTTTATTTTATTTTTATCTCCTTTTTCCTCATAAAAAAAAAACAAAAAATGAAAATTATATCCATAAGCCCCTCGATTATTGTTTTAAAAAAAGCTCATAATTAAAAATACTTGGACAGTTTTGCAATGGCATAAGCATATAGATTTTTCAGAAATACAAGTCTTTTTCTATGAATATGCAAAATGTTCATGGGATTCTGCATTCAAGTAATCATAGTACTCCATATATCCCAAAAAAGATTGTATTTATTTCTATTTATATCTATCCTAAAATACTTATTTGATCAATTTTAAATAATGTATTTTTGTGAAATACCTCTAATTGATGAAAAAAAATCAATTATATATTCTTTACAAACAAAAAATCAATATTCTTTATATTTTTTCCTTATAACCATAAGTACATTTAACATAAAAATTTTAAAATAATTTTTTTTATGCTATATGAAAAATATTCGTTGTTGTAAAAACTTTGTTGCATGCCCAAATTTTGAGTGTAAAATCTTTCCATTAGTATATTATTTTTTATAATTATTGTAAATTTAATTGTTAATTAACTTAATGATTTTTCTTTTGATTTACCATCTTAATTTTAAATAGCTTTTCTTATTAAATTAATATTGATTTTATGTAATGCATGATTAAATTCAATAAATAACAATTTTAAAAAATGATATTTTAGAAAAATATGAATAAAAAATACAAACATAGGATGACAATTAATAATTTTTTTAAATTATGTGAAAAGCCAAATGAGACGATTTTTTGGGATAAAGCCAGTAATTCTTTTAATCAAATAGTTTTTTTTTCTTTTTCTTTTTTTTTTAATGCTTAAAAATCATCTTCATACCTGACATACTAGTAAGTTCAGTTTAAAAAGGAAAAAAAAATTCAAACAAAATTTTAAGCATACGACTTTTCCAACAGAGGCTTTGTATAATTTTTCCTCCGTTTTCTGGGGGCACAAACACCATGCATCAAATGCCCAGCTTGATGAAAATTCATGGCTTATGAAATGCAAAGATGTTTTCTCTGGGTCAAGAACATGTAATCCCACCACATGCCATTTGAATGGTGAGGCAGCTTAGTCCCACATGAAATAGAAAATTAAATTTCGATCATTTACAAACGACAAATGAAGTGTTTTGCAAGACTCGTATTTATGGATTCTTTTTTTTTTTTTTTCCTGCTGCCTATGTTGTTCCCATGTGCATGTTAATGAATTACATTCTTACATCTCTACTCGCATCATATATACTCAATGCCTATTTACAAACGTCATGAGGTATGGTTTGGTCACGCGTAGTATGATGGCACGAGGAATTTTGTACAACAACATCATAAGTAGGAGTATATGTTAGCCAGCCGCTGCTGGCGTCGGGTCTTCTTGTTCATTGCTGCTGTCGAATTCCTGAATGTCCAGTATTTCAACTCTACGGTTCATCTTTTTCCTTAGCTTTATTGCCACGTCAGATGGTCTAAATCTTCCACATATACTTATCCTGCATTGCTGCTTCTCAATCATGTGTGCCTCCACCTCTTCAATATGAAGAAAATAAAACTGGTTAATTGGCTATTAGATGAACACTAATATCGTCATCAATGACAGCTTTACCTTTCATTTTGAGAATGATCCTCCTAGCTTTTTTGCAGCAAGCATTGCAATCAAGGTTAATTCTCAGCTCCATGCAGCAATTCTGCAGTAGTAGATCAAAAGTAAAAGCCTATTTAGTTTGCAATCTTATGATTCTTTGGGAGAATGAGATGCCTTTTATCGGCGTGACAAGGGAAAAAAACGGAGAGGAAAAGGAAACGGAAACGGAAACGGAAACATAAACCCTTTTGAAGACAATATTTGCAATTTACCTTTGCAGGTAAGAAGGTGCGAAAAGACATGATACGAAATCAATGATGGATGATATGATGGCTAATACCACGTGGAGCAAATAAGGAATGTTTGATTTTGAGAATTTGAAGAATCATAGACCAACCGCTGTTTCTGCTTTTGGATTGTCTGCTGGAAATTCTTTCCGGTCATTTTGGAATCTGATTCTACTTAAGCTGAGCAATGGGGCTTTGTTTGGCACGTTTAGCTTGTTATCCCTAACTTCACTTCTGTGCTTTGTTCGTCTTCCACCCAAGTACAAGGGGAAGTATATCTTTACCTCTTGTCCTATGCTTCGTTTTACTCCATGACGCAATATACGAAGCACCTCTTCCTTCTTTGCAAAGGTTTATGTTACGCAAAATTTAAGCCACCTTAGATGTTAGCCTGCCAACTCTTTAGTGTCCTGAAGATAGAAAAGATCTACAAGTATAGAAGATTCTACATGCATGTAGTTGTTTAACTCCTTCCAAGAAAAGTAATCTTTTCCTTCATATTGACAATCAAGCTCTGTATATATACGAATAAGCTTTAGGTCTCGTAATAGTGAGCTCTTTGCACTTGTAAGTTCTTTTTCTGTTCAGTTAACTACTAACTACTAATGATAACTGAGGAGGGGAAAAAACAAACTCAGCACATATAATCATTAATCAAAAACTCAGAATTTCTATGTATTTCCCAATATATCTGCCTTTTTTTTTATCTGTTTCCTTTACAAATTCAAGCATACTCGACAAGAAGTAACTGATTTTCTGTTTTATTTTCTCAACTCAATCTCAATATAACAATTATATACATAGTTAATTCACGCTACCACAATCTTTTGCTAATGCGCATTGTCAAACATCTACATGTCATCAACTGCAGTAAGAGTGAAAAATTCGCTTGATCACTGCCATTTTGCCTGCAGGATTTCTGTATACAGCTGCAACTTTCCTTGTGGATGCTTTCACACAAGGATACCTACAAGTGAGAGTTACCTTCTTTTCCAATACATTAATGGATACAGATTCTGTCTCTGTCAAAAAAAATGAAAAAACAAAAGTTAAGATGCGTATGTGGTTATAAAGAATAAGAACACGTTATAAGTGTACTCCACCAAGGAACACGGAGTCTGACCCCAAGTCAAACGGCCAACTCCAACGGGCAAATGACTAGGTAAATTGGAGCACAGAGGGGTGGGGACCCATCATTGCAAAAGGACACATAAAATATGTAGGCAAGATTCCCTAGTTGATATTCCAACAATCACGGCCATCTAAAACATCAAATGGAGTGTGGCAAGAAATGAATGGAAGAGTACATTTCAATTAATAATTTGTCCATGGTTGATCGTTGTATCAAATTTACTGAACAGAGACTGAAGTTTCACTCCACTGAGAAACACATTCTGGATTAGTAAGATGGATATTCACTTCCTCACTGTGGCAGAAGGTGTCCTTCTGCCCTTTTAAAAGTTGATGTTTTATGTTTTAGATTTTCGACATTTTCGTACCAGCTTTTGTGCTCATTTTAACTCGCTGAACATAAGATGAGACTCATGCATCGCAGAAAGAGAAGCCCAATCATCTGAGTATGATATATTTGGAAGCAGCTTTGACAAAAAATAAAAAAATAAAAACCAGTGATTAAACTTAATTAACCAAGGAATCACATGCCGTTACTTAAAAGGAAGTCAGTAAGTCCCAATAACAGAAGGGAAGAAGAAAGAGAGGTTACTGTGGAAGCAAGCAAACAGGAACACCTACCATTTAAAGGAAATTTTAGAAAAGGGGATTTGTGTGGTTGAAAGAGAATTGTTAACTAAGGACCATATCAATGTCAGAAAGTTTAGTTCAGCCATCGCTATAACTCCAAGAAAGGTCCTTGAAAGTGCTTCCAAAGACATCCAAAATAATCTTTTAACAGTCAGGAGGAATCATTTCTTTGGAGGCTTAACATCTCAATGGACAAGTTTAGAGAAATCTTACCATTCATTCTTGACATTATGGCAGCTACTCTCTTTTGACAATCGGCACATCGAATATCTGCTGAAAGAACAACTTCTTGAAACTGCTCGCAATAAGCACCCACAACGAACCATAAGAAATTGAGTGAGTGTTTGATTGCAAATGAAATAAGTAAAACATGTAAGATTAGCATATGAAAATGAAGAGAGAGAGAGAGAGAGTACAAACAAGAGGTACGGTTAAGGATTCAATAGAGGCAAGGCTAGTTCCAGAATAGAGCGTGTTCTTTGACTTTTTTACTCCAATTCTTGGCATCTCCTTTTTAGGCCGTGTAGCAAGAGCCATATCTTGGTTTAGTGGCTAAAAAGTGAAAACCGCAAAGATACTCATATAGGAAAGCAAGGTAACAAGTTTATTCCCATCTTGCACTGGGAGATAAAAAGAAAGACGGAGAAAGAAAATTATCTGAAAAAGATCTACGAACAGCTTTCGCTGTAGTGATAGAGGAAGCCCAACTTTTAAGATGCTTCAATTGTTGGAGAACAAGGGATGAATGAAGCAGAACAGGTTTCAGAGCCTAGTAAAGTGAAAAGGGGCCTTAAGTGCTTAGTTGACAAAGATGCTTCATTCACTGCGGGAGGCCCACACAAAACGCTGTATTTGAATTTTCTCCTCTTGAATTATTCTCTATAGCTTGCTTATGAGACCAAACACTTGCATTAGTATAATCTTTTATTAAGTTCAATTGAGCAGTCGTGTCAATAATGAGTCTGGCTATGGCCGAACTCTGGACGCTGCAGCTAGCCGATAGAGCTGAGTTTTTAAGACATTGACTTTAAAGAAGGTTTGATGTTTCTTCTGCTCGGCTTTGTCACAGCTCCGCGCTAATGAAGCCGCTAAAGCTTCTTTTCTTTACCAAAACACTGTCAAACATTAACAGCTAAACAAATGAAAAAAATTTACCTACTTGATTTGATTGTTCGGCAACTTTGATGCTGCACAACTGGATTAGCCAAAAAAATCAAACAAGTGGCTTCTTTAGTGGTGTCTTTTGAAGTTGTTTCTGCTGTGAAGAAGAATGGAGAGAGTTGAGGACTTTTGTGTTCTGTATCAGGTCAAAGAAATGGATGACAAATTGGTAAAATTGCGCAAAGGAGTTACCTTGATCAGGTCAGTAGTATCAAAAGAACCTCTCATCCAAAAGTCTAACCGAGTTTATATTATTGTCCAACACAGTCGTTCAAACAAAAATCTTTTGGGTTTACCTTGTATTTAATTAATTAGAAGAAAAAATAAAAATATTAGGACTTGAACTCGCGGCTATTTGATCTTTTAAGAGTAGATGTTATGTCAAATGATGATCTTACATAACGCTTAAGCTTTTGGATGAAATGTTACTTTTACAATAAGAGCCGAAGGCAATTGAGGAAATGTATTTAGAGAAATTAAGTCAGTGGAAAAAGCGGAAAAGGATGTTCAAGGATGTGTGGGATGCTATAACTGAGAACTCACCCAAGGATCTAAAAGAAATCAAGGTCATCTTTGTACTTTCATGTATTGATAGCACATGCAATTTGCTTTGCAGGAGTTGGGTTTAATAAATATATTTATGTTTTTGCTGGAGGAACTTGGACTTGAATATGATGAAGATGGTGTGAGCCTGCAGTCATTCAGTGACCTGCTGCAACATGGCAAGAAGCGAGCCAAAGGCCAGTAACTTTATAGGACGAACTGCATATTTGATGAAGCATTAGGCACAAGTTGTTAATTGGTATTTTCTTAAGAGGTAAGCCAGTTATAAAATTTGTAGATTCTATATTCTTTTAGAAAGTAAATTTGTGGCCTCTGATCCAGATGAGTAGGTTTAAACTTCACAAATGTTACATGCTGGACCACTGTTTTGTAAAGTGCAGAGTATTCTAGTTTAAGCGGTTTCCGATATGAATTTAATGCAGTTTACATGGAGGACCTATTCATAGGAAAGGATGTCCAGTTCTCGTTTAAATAGTTTTATGGAATCCATTAGACAGGGTTCTTGAATGGTGCAATATCTTTTGCAAAGCAATATTAGCTTGCCATGAGTGTGAATGCCTTCATATAACTGGATGATTATTGATCTTTTCTTATTGATGTGTGTTTGGAGAAATGATCAATGATTGATTTATGTCTGAACATTGATGACCACAGGGCAGCTGAGCCACTTGCCTCCTGTGCTTCTATGCTGCGCACTCTTCAGAATTTCTTCATGCCTTTGTGTTTTAGTCTAATTGGTAATAAGAAAGGTGCACACCTGATGCTAGGGAGTCCTTGATTTTCCACAGAGGATGGTTTGCGCTCTTTTTGCACATTTCTCGTTAAGAATCCTCTTCAATACAAACATAGAAACTTCATAGGTTCCTCTGTTTTTTACAAAATTCAGTAAAAAGATACAAAGAACTTACAAACAAACAACTAAATGAGTTCACAAAATTTAGGAGAAAGAAAGAACAGATGTAGCCTATAATTAAGCCTTCCAGTTAGCAGGGCTCACCAAACTTTAACAACAGACTCAATATGCTCATGCTTCTCAGAATCCTTGCACTAGTCTGGTCCTGACAGGAGTCGGTCCCTTCTCTATTTTAAGCGCTGTGAACTTTGAATACCGGGTACTTCTGCAGCACGTTCTGTAGAATATCCATGTCATGAATCCACCTTCAGACCACTTTGAATGATTCTAGGGATTTTCTTATTAGAATTTTCAGTTGTCGGGATCTCTCTTCGCAGTTGAAATGCAATTCGTCACTTCTCATAAAAAACTATATCCTTCTCTAACTGCTTGGCTGGGTCCTCTGCTTCCATCTCTGAGCATTTGCGCTCACAACATTTTTCTGGTGGATTTCCTGATTTTTCAATTGAGGTTCAACTTGCATGGGCTTGTACTTGTGAGACACGTTTCTTCCGAATGAATTTAATAGAGATCAGACCTAATACTAAACAGCGCGTTAGTTTATGGTCGTACAAAACGGGACTAAAGCTTTTCCAAATGAAAGTATCATCCCTCTCAACAAAAACAGAAGAACAAGAAGAAAAAGATATTAAAAGGAAAAAAGTTGATTTGTTAACATCAAACAACAGAACCCCCATCCTTTTGGATCCTTTCTAGCGTGGGAAGCTACAGCCACACAACAGTACCACGGATACATAGGCTCCACATAGTTATGGAATTACAACATGCTTCCCACTGCCACGCAGGCATTTGTTCTGTGACACTACAAAGCTGGTTTTTGCTGCTGAAGCGAAAATAAACCAGGAAGTGTAACGAAGAGAATTCCCAAAAGGCAACACACCTAATCCATTAAACTTAGACCTCGCAAGAAAATACTTTGAAACTTGATCAATTTAAAACAACTTGAAGGGAGAGGAAGAGGGAAAACTTTAGTTACCAGAGATGATATACAGATTACAGATCACAAGCAGAATCATCTTGCAATAGCCTGTTAAAGGATACAAGTATTTGCGAGGGTTAGAACTCTATAAGGTCCTCCAAAATTTCAGCCTGTTGCTTGTGATCCCAAGCGGCTATTGTTAAATACAAATACATTGTTACGGAGAAGGAGCTTGGATGCCATTTCTTCTCCAAAGAATAGTTTCCATAGCCACTGGCTTTGGCTGGTAATCTAGTGTTTAGCATCGAGTACATGCACCATGGGAAGATATACCTCTGAAAAGAAAAAGAACAAAAACTACATCTACTTGAGAGAGAGGAATAAACTCTTCCACATCCCAACAAAAGAAGCCTGTCCTATTGATTTATAATAAGGCTTGTTAGCTGAACAAGAGTAAAAGAGATAACCCCCGATGTCCAACAGCTCCGTCCATCCACTTTCAAAGTCGTCTGACATCAGAAATCTATCATAGGAATCCTAACATCTAGACATATATACCTCTGCAAAAAGTCAAAAAGTAACATCTGGCTTGGGATATACCAACTACAAGGAACCCATCATCTAGACATAACCAAGCTTGTTAGAGGCTGCAAAACAGTAGAAGCAAATAGAGAATCCTCCATGTACTTGCAGTTCTCGTGATCGACATTTAGGGCAGTTGGAATAAGAAATCTTTCACCTGCATTGGATCCGATGACTTCTGATAATCTTCGACCCCCATTATTGTTGTGATGCATCTTATGGCCAGAACATCCACTAATACGTCTTCTCTTCTTTATTGAGCTCCACCTCAACTGGGCTAGCAAATTATCCTTCGAAAGATCTGGAACCAACTTCGATTCTTTTTTCATATCACGTCCAGAGTCCAATGAATAATCACTATATCCAGGGTTGGCTTTTCCTGATTGCTTGGAATCAGGAACAATAATTTGGGCCAATTTGCTCTCATCAGATCTGAACTTTACTTGCTTTCTTTCCAAGCAAGATGATAAATGGAACAGAATGTCTGGTCTTTCCTTGATAGGTGTCCACCTATTTCCCAACCATTCTTGGGAAAGTCTTAAGTCAGAACTGCAGAAAACCAATTCCTTCTTTTCTCCTAAGAAAAAAATGAAATTACAAAATTAAAGTCTACATGAAAAAAAAATTAGACATGACACAGGACTGATACAGTGTTACAATTTAATTTCAAAGAAAGAAAGTTTCCATACCTGGGAAAAAAACATGAATTCTATCTTCAGATTCTTTTTGGACAACAATGCCTTCCCACCAAGCATCGTTCCACCAAGCGTCTACAGCAGTGCCAATGTCAGCAACTAATGCTGCTTGGCCTTTATTGAAGCACGGGGTCGGGCGAACAACAGCCCTTCCACCAATCCGGATAGCCAATTGGTCAGGAGCAGCAACCCTGAAGGCCAAAACCCATTCCTACATCAAAACACAACACCATTTATTGGACTGAACTTGTAAAAATATGAACTTAAAAGGACATAGCCAAAAGTGTAAGACTTCTTTCTATTTCCTCCAGTTTTTCCATAATGAAAAGCAAATAAAGAATCACCGAACATAGTTGGTTTAAACAATACGCACCTCCAGTTTCTTTGCTTCATCACCTGCATCAGTAATATCTTGATATCTCACCTTCACCTTATTTTTGTGCTTCTTAATTATCAAAGCCCTAAACCAACAACCTCTAATCCCACTATCTTGAGAAAGCACTTCAACTTCAGAACCGACATTTAGATTTTGCACATCCTCCATTGTGTACAATAAGGCAGTATCCTCTTCTCCCCTTAGACTGCATACCTCATTTCCAGTTTTGGCATTAATCTGACCGTTATGAAAGTTTTTTATGTTTATAAAGCTTCCAGTCATTGATTCTTTTTTGACAGTGCAAACATCGTCATTGGCTTTCAATCGGCGAAGCCTCTTCTTAGATCTCATCCTACTAGTATCATCATCATTTCCTTCCCCTCTCAAGACATTGACTGGATGCTGAAAATTCACCACTTGCTTTGAAGGAGGAACAGTCAAATACCTGAGAATTTCCTGTCTCCAGTAACCTTCAACTTCAGTGATGTCAAAGTGCTTTACATCTTCACTGTCAAACTGCCTGTGGCAAACAAAAGGACTGAACCTAGTATATATGTTCTCATTTAGGAACTTCTTAAAATGCTGAGGACTCAGGACAGTTGCCAATCCATCTATGCATTCAATACTGAGATCTTGAAGACAAAGAGAAAAGAAAATCTCTCTGTCATTAAAATTGTGAGGCAAAACAATACCAACCTCATCAATTTTGTGAAACCATCGTACCATAACCATTTTGTTCCCTTTCGAGTCCTCGTACAGGTCTTCCAGGTAAGCAATGAGTCGTTTATCCTCCTCAGCTAAGACATAAACAAAGTCATGAACCTGAAATGTTTTATAAGGAAAGCACATAGAGAAGTCAGATGCAGGGGGAAAAAACTATGGTCCTCAAAAAGAGAAAAACAACACCAAACACTCACCGAAATTTTGACACCGTTCCGACAAAAAGACTCGTAATGCTTTCTTTTCTTCCTGCAAGTCCAGGGAGAACCTAACCACAAAAATTCTGAAGAATAATACCCCAGCTTCTGTGACCGAATATCCTAGTAAAATTGTGAATATGTAAGAACCAAAAAGATAATACTCCGCACACTAAAAATCCCAAATTGACAATATGTCAAAATACCAAAAGTGTCAATAGCATCATTCTCACCTTAAAGATTTCCAAATCCAACTGAGAAACATCACTGGTATCTAAGGAGCCTGCTTGGAAGAATGATTCATGTGGAAGTGAACCTGAAATTCCATAGTAAAATCAAAACTCAATAGAGTGTCATCACTGGGGAAAGAAACAAAAGGAAAAACAGAATAAGGCACTGATGTAAAGAGGAGCATACACAACAAAAAGAGTAACACTTAATGGCATATCAACAAAGAAAAATCCATGGTACAAATGCATGACACAAACAAAAACCCGTAAGAATTTTTTACAAGAAGATTTAAGTTTTGATATGACAACACAAAAAGGTACCATGATCAGGAAAGTTACTTGTGTAAAATACGAAAAATTTGGCCATGAAAGATCATAACCTAGATATTGAAGACATAAGCATCCGATTCTCTAACCAGCTCTTTAAAATTGAATAAGTAATCCTGCAGTCCAGATCACTGTCAGTTGGAAGTAACATGGCACAGAAATAGGTGATTATAACTAGAACAGGGTTTAAAGTTAGGGCAGCAGACATGAAAAAAGGCGAAGGAGAGCAGCCAACTATTGATAACGGGAGAAGGGTATAGAACTAAAAGAAAATGAATATGAAAATAAAAGGCTGGACTGTTAAATAGATATCCAGTCCACCGATAGGAAATTTTGTTCATTTATTAAAGAAATGAGGACAAGGATTTAAATATTTATTTCTCTTCAGGTCCAAAAACAAAGATACATAAAGAGGAGAATGCCTGGAGATTCTTAGAAACAAAATAAAGTATTTTCCACTGTCACCCCAAAAAAAAAAAAAAATGAAATAAAACTCATGAAGAAGAAGAAACGTCAAGAGGTGCCAGGAGGAGCAAGGCACATGAGAGAGAAATCCAAGGAAAGAAAACACTTGAAGAAAGAAGAAAAGGCCCTTGACATCGGACATCATTGACAACAACCCTAAATAGGGTATCTACAGGCTTGTAATAACCACTGCAGATTGGAAACAGATCCTTAAAGCTGCAAACTTTTTAATTTGATATAATAGGTCAACTTTAGGCAAATTCTAAAGCTAAAAATTTTCCATATATTTCGAAACAAAAATATCTCTGCATATTTCCTATTCTCCAGAACAACAGAGGTACTAGATAGAATTCAACAGAAATACGAAGTCACAAAACTAGGCGAGCGTGGAGCCATCTTCGAACAAAAAATCCCAAGCATAAAAAAAGACCGTGCAGCAAGAGGAGCAAAAAGAAACTGAACAGGCCAGACTTATTTTAACGAATTAAAAATTAAAAATCACACAAACAGCACAGCTCTAGGAAGATTCATCATTCCTGACGCAAATCTAGGAAAAGATTGAATTTTAGACTGAATTACGAAAAAAAAAACAATAAAAACCAAGAGTAATATATCCAACTATGCCATAACGCCGCAAAGAACCGAAATCCTTCAAATGAATCCCAAAAGCTTCGAAATTTTCATTATTTACTGGGAAATTAATTACAAAAACAAAACGTTTGAAATAGGTTTTTTCTTACGTACCTGAAACAATTGAATCGAGCCAATCAATAACCTCTCTTCTTGACTTGGGCTTCAGAGAGGGTGCCATAGAAAAAAACTTCGACCGGTTCCTAATTGCAAAATAATAAGACATGTGCCGCAAGCTCTTCTCTTTCCCTACAATTGCAAGATCTTTTCCACCGTCGTTTCTCTTCAGGTAATACCGCACTTCTCTCCTCCCTTTATCGCTCGACACGTACACCTCCTCCCAGCTTATGTACCCCAAGGTCCCCAACGAGGTCGCCGACTCCGGCTGCGACCTAAACCCCAGAGTCTCCATCAATTTATTCGAAACAAAAAACGAACACAAGAGTTCAAAAAAAAAGTATGCAGAAAGAAGAGGATTAGGGTTTCTCTCTCTCGTCTCCCTCTTTTATCATATCATCCGTTTGTATCTCTCTCCGTCGGTGTATTTGAATGGGGATTTAAAAAAGGAGGGCGTTGCTTGGGGATTTTGAGGAGAGATGGACGGTTACGATTGCGTCCACGAGGGTTCCACGAAGGAGAGGAGTTCGGAACAGCGCGGACTGCTATGTAGGGAAAATGGGTTTCCTAAAATACCCTGATTTAATACAAGAAATTTCATTCGTGTTTTGTATATTTCTGCTACACGACACGTGTCCTGTCTAGGGTTCAAGCAACAGACAAACAACAAGTTGAAAGAGAGGGAGATAAGGGAGTGGCGCCCGCAATTGCCGGGTTTTTTTAATGGGAGACTCGCTCAGACTACTTGCCAGTTGTCAGAAAATTTATTTTTGAAACTACTACTACAAAAAATAATTAATTTCTAGATTCAAAAATTATGATAACAACGTCAGTTTCATTTTCCAAAAATGTGTTAGTTTGGATTTGGGTTTGGAAAATATGGTAAAAACATTAATTCCACCTACTACTGTCCTTTTTATTGCCAAATAATTGATAGACCGTGTTTTTTGGAATACCAAGTCTGATTTTCCTCCCCGTGATAAAAAGATTAAAAATATCTCTTTAAGAATTTTTTTTTTAATTGTAAAATTGCTAGGAAAAGATATATGTCTCAACCAAAATTACAAACCACAAGTCCCAATTTTTTTCTCTTTATGCAATTAAAATTAGGATACACTGATCAATAATAATTAATGTAAAATAAATAAAATATAACTATAAACAATAAAAAAAATTTTATGAAGAAACTCCGATGTGGTGAAAAATTATGAAATTATAGTCCACTCAAATCATCTACTATATCAAATAGAGATGGCAATTTATCCCATCCCACTCCGATCAACACGAGGATTTCAACGTTGATCAAGAACAGGTTGAGGCAAGGCACTCCATATTTATTTTGAACGGGGATGCTATTTGCCCGTCTTGCTTCGTTTCATTCCTAAGATTTTAATTATACTCTGTATAAAATTTATAACTATCGACTTTTAAAGTTTATTTTCTACATGAACTATCATTTTTTTCTATAATTTAAAATTTAATAATAAAATTGAACAAGACACTAATGCCTCACAAGGATCCGTGTCCTTGTTCGGGGTGGGGATGGCATGACAAATTTTACCCCATCCCCACGTGGGGCAAAATTTTCAAAGACGGGACAAAGACGGAGATGGCCATCCCAACCTGTCCCATTGTCATTCCGAATATCAAATAATGAGATACACCATTCTTTCTTAGTTTAAATAAAAAATACATTTCAAAATATCAAAATCATTATCATCAAAATGGATTTCAATCATAAAAATAAAAATAAAAATATCATATCTCACCAAATGAGTCTTTAAGAAATATTCAAACGTTGAAAAATATTTAACAGTCAACGTAATTCAAGTTGAAAAGTTTGACACGAAAACAAATATATCAAAATTTCATCGCAATCGAGTTTAAAATCACCATCACACATCTATCTTTGTCTCTCTCTTTCTCTCGGCTAAAACCCCTTGTCTTCTTTTTATATGGATGCACTCTCTTTTGGCTGCTACATTTCGCCCTTTAAATGTGTGCGTAGTCCTGCAAATTAAAAGTCCAAAATGGCCACACACGTGACTAGTGGTTTTTGTTTTGCTTTTCTATTTTTTCTTAAACTCATTTACGTAGATTTTAGGCTCCACTGAGGAGGGATCCAACCAAATAAAAACAAAGATCTTAATACTAAAAAAAGTTCTCCTTCAAAGATACAAAATTGTTAAAATTTATGATTTAAATAATCAAATGTCTATTGTTTGCTTGTATAAATGGCACTTGAATTTCCTAAATTTTACCTTAGATTAGATGTTTGTTGAGTTGAAATATACATGTATGTGTATATTTATGATTTTTTTCTGAAAACATATATGATAAAACGAGTTTATAAAGAAAAGAGTTTGACGAGTAAAGTTTTAATCTGTATTGAAAGATTTCGGTTAAAATCACAAGAGGATAAGAATTTACGAATAGGTGGAGATTGTTTTGTTGAATCATTTTCAACCTGCCATTCAATAAAAGAAAAAAAACAGTTAAAATGAGTAAAATATAAATTTATCTCTCTAATTTTGCAATACGAATCAAATAGTATTTTTAGTTTCAAAAAGTTACCTAATTAGTTTATTTCATATTTTTTAAAAAACATATTTTTAATAAATAGAAAAAAGAATGCATAAGTAAAAAAAATGAAAATATTGATTAAAAAAGAAGATATTTTTCAAATAAAATAATATTAACTTACATAATATTAATATTGCAAAAATATCAATTAATTAATTTTTAAAATTACTGAAACTATTTAATTCGTTTTGAAAAAACAACTGATTTTTAATTTAGTCAGATTAAAATTTATGCGTGCACATGTATATAATAGCACAATCACTTTTTGTTTCTATTAAATTATAGAAAAATGTTTGATGACGTCATTAATATCATGTATCACTACTCTCAATTATATTAATGTACAATATGCTTTAAATGCATTTCCAAAAATCCGTGTGTTGGAGAAATAAAAAATCAATAAATACTTCAAAAGGCACTTCTATTTCTTCATTTTTCGTGCACGGAAACACACGTGTATATTGAATATCCAAGAGAAGAGACAGGGAGCGAAGCTAGGTGGATACAAGGAAAGGGAGGCAAATAGGCAATCATACTTCTCGCTCGAGCATTGTATTTTTTGTCATTTCTTCATGTGTTTTTAAATTAATAGATTTGATGGCATAATTTCTCCTCAAAATTATCGACGTTAATTTGATCAATATTATCAATTTAAATTATCTGAATTTTAAATTATTAATTTTTCAGTAAATTTTATTTTTTTATCATGTCTCACAGATAAAATATTAATTACTAACTGAATACTTAAAACAACGTTTTAAGCATTTCAGATTTTTTAGAATTAAAATTAATTTTAAAATAATATTTAATTGGATTTAACTTTAAAAAAGCTTAGTTGAATTGTTGTTTATGAATTTGATTGTTTACTTTGTTCTGGACAAGTTCAAACCAGATTAGTATAATAAGAGGGTAAAACACTTTGCTTTACTTTGTTATTGAAGAGGGTAACTGAGAATCTTTTGGGCTTCCAAATTCTTAAGCAATGGGAAAAAATAAGTTATATAGAAAAATCAATTCCCGATGAAGCTATTTTTCAAGAAATTATTTTTTAAAAACATATTTTCTACGAGTTTGGTAATTATATGAAAAAAACTGCTGAAAAATATATTTCAACGTTTATTTAATATAAAAAATTAAAATACAAAAACTTATGTGATTGTTATATCAACAAGTTTTGAGAAAATTTTAAAAATACATATTCATAATTTCATAATATAATATACATTTAAAAAAATTTAATAAATTATCATCAATACTAACTCTAAAATCTTAATTCAAAAAATAAAATGTACTTTTTTAACCATCAAACCAAATCATTAAAATTACTTGAAACAAAATCAAGGCAATATTCATATTTCGTAAAAAAATATTCTAAGTAATCCTAGCATTATTATTTTGGTAACTCAATTAATAATTTTTTTTAAAGAAATTGAATTGATAATTTAGTCTAAAAAATAATTTTATAAATTAATAGCTATCATTTATAGATAATTATTTATTTTGTCTAAAAAAATTAATGTTAGAATCAATTTGTAACTAATTATTCATTACAATTACAAACAAAATTTAATAATTGATTAAAATTATAAATTATTGATTTAATTGCAAATGAATAGTGTTGGAAAAACAATGTATTTATTGATGAATTAATTAATTTCATTTTTTTACAAAAAATTATAGTCTTGTAATAATCATTTTTAATCATTTAATTATAGCTTAGGTAGTGTTTGAGACAATAGTAAAAAAAAAAAAAAAGAGATAAGTTAATGAAATATTTATTACAAAAATAATTTTAAGATGTAAAAATAGTTTTTAAGAATATTTAATGTATTTATAAATAAAAAATCAAATATTAGTAAAAACAGAGAAAAAATAATTAAATAATTGATAATACTTGATAAGGAATAATTAAAAATTAATATGATATATTTTAAATAAAAAAAACACAGTGAAAAAAATTGTTAAAATATATCGAGAGAGAGTTAAGTAATGCAAGAGCGAGACGACTCGTGAGAAGGAAAATGTTTTCCTCTTTTAAAACTGAAAAAAAATCTTTTCAAATTACTCTATCATTTTACATTGACGGGAAATCATTTTTCATTGACTTTTTTTTTGAATGTGAAACAAACATTGGAAAATGAGGAAAACAAGTTCCAGAAATTTATTTTCCCTCAAACAAACACAGCCTTACAGTTAATTCAAATTCCATTTACATTACACGGAAAAAAAAAAAAACATGCAACAAACTAAGTTTAGATGAACTAAAAGAAATAAGAAAGAATCTACATTTAAATTGCAAAAACAAATATTTGGAATCAACGAGATCGGTTAGTTTTCAGTGAAAAGAAGCTTGTCATACAGAGACGACGAAGGTATAAATACGAAAATTGATGGTATTTCTCAGGAGAAATCCAATATTCATCGAGAAAAATGATTTGAAATGTCAAACATTCACATGTTTCATATACCAATAAACTTTTAACGTTAACAAATCTAGCAGTTTCCAATATATATATTGTGTTATCTCGAAAAGAAGGAATACAAATTGAGCTAGCTAATCCTGACTTTATTAATGTAAAAAAGATTTTTTAAAATTTTCATTAGTTTCCTGTGTTTTTTATATATTTTTTATGAGTTATTTAATTTTTTTTTTTTTGGATTTTTTTAAGTTTTGATGTTTCGAGATGTTTTTTTTTATATGAGCATATTTGT